GTATGTGGTATATTATTCCGTAACCGCTTCGGAAACTCCTTCGTCGATGGAGACGAAATCGCGTTATTATCAATCCGTAAAAAGCGAACAAAGCGAGCGTCCTCGCGAGAGTTTGAAAAGAGAGAAGTAACTCGATTCGGTTTTATTTTTAGTGCTCTCGTATCTTGTTTAGCGCTTGAATTTTTCAATAATTCGCGCCTCGCCTCGCGGCGAATCGATTGCATTGCGAACCGCGGGCTAGCTGGCTTGCGCGTAGCTGCAACTTCAATTCTCGCACTACTGCCACTACCGCTCTCTCTCTCTCTCTCTCTCTCTCTCTCTCTCTCTCTCTCTCTCTCTCTGTTTTGAATAATTGATTATTCCGATGTTTGACGGAGTATATAGCAATATGTGTGTGAGCGAGTTTCCCCAGAGTTAATATCGAATTTTCAACGTGCGCCAGAATTAAACGCAATTAAATTTTACGCGATGTATGATTGAGTAATTAGGCCTTCCAAAAGAAACCACTTTTACGAATTGAATGTATGTGTGCCGTGCTCTCGTAATTCACCGCGCAGTATTTACAAAACCACACGCGCAATTGACGATTCGATCGCAATTGAGTCAATCCCTGTATACCCCCCCCCCCGCGCATTTAAGTTACACGTTGACCAACAACGCCACGCTGTACTTATGACGCACAACACAACGCTTGTGAAGCGCTCATATATAGTCGAGCTCTCGCGTTATTATTTTAGCCCCTTAAATTTATAATAAATTCATCAAGGTAGCCTTCAACTTCACACCGACAATACAGCCTACCTCGGAATACTCAACTCATTCAAAATAATCATCGTACGCGTAATTAAATTAGCCGAGAGTTCTTGTTCTCGCGCGCTAATTACAGCCTCGAGAAAAGGAAAAAAAGAAAATCCTTTAAAAGAGGGGGGAGAGAGAGTGGGAGCTTGCAAGCATTTTTTTTCTCGCGCTCGCGACTAAATGACCAAAAATAATAATGGTGTGCAGCGCGTGCTTGCAGCGCACCGCGGCGGCAAACAAAAAAAAAAGAAAAAAAAAACGAAAGAAAGAAAAAAAAGGCAGAGTAGGAGAGAAAGAGAGAAAAAGCCGCGACAATGGGCAATCTCGTCGTGTCTCTGCATGCATACAGCCCTAGCCGGAGGCGGCAGCAGCAACCCCACCCACCTGCACACACATAATGCCTCCGCTGCACGCGACAGCGCCCCCCCCCCCCCCCCTCCTGTATTCCGCTATGCCCGCTCGCTAGCGTGACCGTGCGCGAACTCGCGATAATCAAGATAACGACCTCGATCGCCGCTGTACCGCTGCCGCTACTTCTCCCGTCGTTTTCCAACGCTAAATCACTTTTCCGTTGTTGATTCGAATCTGCATCATTTTCCGTTTGATGCGTAATTAAGTGCGCGATTACGTCGTCGAGATCGAAAACGGCTGGTTCGATTGTATCATTATACGGGGTGGTCGACCCCATCATCTTCGCTGAAAACGAGACGCGCGTTGCGTCGATGTGTAAGCTTTTGCAATTCGCTACTGTACAGCGCTTCAATCCGAACCGATCGAGTCGACATGCTTCGCCGACACGACATTTCCACGCGCCAATGTAATATTCACGGCGGATGTAAGTTTGTCAAGTTGAACTTGAGCAAGAGCAACCATTTGTATTGACTAACTGTATTGAATAACAATCGCTGACATTTCGACCTCGTTAATAAACAAACGAGAGTTTCGTTAATTCGTCCACGATGATACTATTATTATTGCAAGTAAAATCAAACAAAGCACTCCTTCAATGTGGCGCGTAAACGAGTCAGTCGAATTAAGACAGGTCAAATCGATAAATAGGTGCAACTGTAGGTGGCGTGATTTTGAACTGCGCAAGTGTGAAATGACGAAAATTGCTCATGGATTAACGAAGAGCTCAAATAACGCACTGCTGCTACACAAACGCACGAAACACGTCGATGTGTATGTGCATTCTCGCGCTGATTATAATGAATTCGCGACATAGCTGAGTGCACACGATTTTTTCCTCGGACTCGCGGCCGGCTTTTATTAATTATCATTTACTCGGGCGCTCTCGTACCTTGTTAATTGAAGGAAAGTATCATCAAGCCAAAATAAAGCGTCTCTACGTTTTTAATAGCATGACACCTCGTTTCATTGACAATTAAAAAAAGTGAGGGGCGAAGGGGAGGTGAGAGATCGTCGCGCGTCGTAAAACACTCGACAGAGCGAGGAGTATCTCGTAAAGCAAGAAGGACGAGAGTGCTGGGAATAACCGATGGTTTGATGTGATAATCGGTCGTTTTGTTGAAAATTGAATATGTATGTGGGTACAGTTGCATACATACGTCGCGTCTGGGTTTGGGCCACTTGATAAGGCGATGTTTTGTCACCCGAGGGACACAGCAGAGAGAGAGACAGAGAGAGACAGAGAGAGAGAGAGACTTGCGCGCTCTCGCGAGACGTGTTTTCGAATATAATAGTCCCAGTGGCTAAGCTCAATGCAAGCTGCCTGATTAAATATGGATCAAAGCGCATAGACGAGAGGGAGAGGCATCAACTGCCTTTAACACTTGCGACTCCGACACCAACTTTTTGCGCATGCGAACGTGCGCGTATAAATGCGCGTTAAATTTATCAAACTTTCGACTCTTGACTAGCTGTGCTTTTCTTCTTTCGCGCGATCTATTTCCGTGCGACTGCGCGAGGAAACTGATATTTTGTTTGCTCAGCGGCTGACTGTATCTCGGGCTATTCTACTTGATTCCGATAGACCACGTCGGAAAGAACGAGAAAAGAGCTCTCGAGATTAACCAGATTGCGTGCGTGTATGCCGTAGTAATGCTGCTGCGAGAAAAAGAAAATTATTACCCTTCTTTTTTTTTAATAATTGTTATTAACGCGCTGAATGAATAGAAATGAACTCTTTCCCGTGGTCTTTTGAAAAGGAGCCATCGAGGGTGTTAGTTTTCCAGCGAGTGCTTCATTCCAAGCTCTATTTTCCAAAGGATTTTTGGGTCACTGATTTAAATCAGTGGATTCTATGTCTGCTCGAGGAAGAAGGGGGTGACATAGAGGCAAACGCGCGCCAACCACGATGAATTATTTAAAACTCGGGACTTTTTTGGCCTATTTTTTAATTGCTATTCTTTCTGTCGTCTCTTTCGAATCATGAAATTCGATCGGCTACAACGCGCGTTTGCCTCTTCTTTTCTAACGAGCGAAAATGAAATACGTATACACGAAGCCACCCTTCAAAGCTCATCTAAAGGTCAATAAAAGTCCACGTAACAGCGATTTTCACACGAGCGAGCAGCGTTCATTTTCGCAACAAAGCGACTGTCTGAGCTGCTTCGGAAACTGCTGACAAACCGTGTCTGAGCCGCGAGTGCATCTTCGCGTTCGATATGAAAGCCAACCGCGAACTCGTGCAGCCGCCGAAAAAGCGAGAAAGGAGCAGGAAAGGAAAGCGATTGAACTTGACGCGCGGCAGGCGTCGCGGCGGAAATTTTTTTTTTTCCAGACGGGAAACTAGGTTAGTACAGCTAAATTGGAACGCGACGCGCTGCAAAAGAGACTCCCTTTCTCCCTCTTTGCGTGCATAATGCACGCGCGCATAACCAGGCCGAATTCCCCGGAGCGCTCGAGCCTCCGTTTCCGCGTGCCACGCGTGGCTCGCTGCCGAAAATTGACTAATATCGCGCCCCGCCGACCGCTCGCCTCGGCGATCCGTTGCGGAAGCAATGGGATTTATTGGGAGGGGCATTGACGGGCGCGATCACTGTGTGCGCGCGCGCGCGCTTCACTATATATCGCCGCCGTCGTTTCGCTGCTCTTGGCGTTTTGACGCATTTCATGCGAGCTCGATGACCGTCCAACTCTGCGCAATACACTTCCTGCTTTCTCGCGATGTTCTCGTCGTTGCCGCTGCACTCTCTCGCTCACTCGACACTCGCAATATTTACAGGCCTGTGAACTTTGGACAATGCGCAATGCGTGTACTCTACTCGCAGTTGTCAAATTTGTCAGAAACGCTCTTCCGCGAGTGGATGAGCGGCCTGCAGATCTGTGTCGAATGCCGAACGGCGTTTCGCCCTATTTCGCGACGTCGCCAATTAATCTTTCGTTAACGACGGCTACGCAGCCGCCGATCGATTAATAAATATCATTGTCTTGGACGTTTGTAGAAGGTACGCGAGCCCGTTAAAAATGAACGACTGAAGGAATGTCTGGGCTGCCGCGGCAACTTTAAATATCTAAAGGGTCGAAATCGAGCGGCGAATATGAGTGTTACATGCGAAATAATTTACAAAGCAAGAAACGAAGAGAGTTTCGGCCTCTGCGTGGAACGTGATGGCCGTAAAAAAGATTTAGGGGAAGGAGAGACGAGAACTCTAGAGTTTAAGAGGAGAATGCCGCGTCGAAAAATCAGATGTCCGAATAGCCGAGGGAGCTCTTTGGCTGGGCCGCAAGCTGAAACGACAAGGTGCGTAAGGTGAACGCGAAGAAAAGCTTCGAATTTGCGGAAAGTTGCGGGAAAGCGGGGACGGGCGAAACAAGAGCGAGTCGTGGACGAAGAAGCGGAACTCGAGGAGCAAGTTTGCCACTACAGCGCGAACAGGGAGCAAGTGGCGGGCGTAGCTGTCATTCAAAAATCAAGGAGCTCGCGTCCGCGACACGGCGAACTCGCTCGCTCGCCGGATCAACAACGCGCGTTTCGTCGCGCCGAGGAGACGCCTGACCTAAAAGACGAGAAGGAAGACGAGCGCGATGAATGGGGGGAAGAAATCGAGCCGCGTATATCGCCCGCGTCGGCGTTACAACACACCCTACACCAGCGTCGAAAGCCGCGTTTCCGCCAACGCAACGCCTTGATCCATGGAACGACGGCCAGAACTAAAGCCAGAATAAGGCGGACGCATCTTGGCACACCCCCGAAAGAAAATAAAAGAGATAGCTTATGTATATGTGAGATTACTTACTGACGAGGCCATAATCATGCTCGTGTTGTTTTGCCGAGAGCGCGGGGCCAGAGCGCCAAAAAGAAGCTCTCTTCCGCGTCCCTGTTTCGTCGTTTCTTCGACCTCTCGTCACTCAGCGCATATCCTCGTCACGGCAATCCGAACGATAGCACACCGGGCGTGGGACGACAAAATAAAAAAAAAACAATGCTCGTCGATCGTCGCACGCCGACACACAATAAGCAGCAGTCAAGAGAGAGAAAGAGAGAGAGAGGGAGTGCGTTAGCCCCACCCCCACGACTGCAGAGAGGGCACGAGCACTACTACAAGGTGCGGCGGATTTGCGGACTGGCTGGCTGCTGCGTGACTACGCACGATGGCAAAAACAACGGCGAAACAAAAACAACAGCCGAGAGAGAGAGAGAGAGACGATGATTCGCGGCGAGCTGACAGGGCCTCTCTCTCTCTTCCCGACAAATTGGCTCTGTCGGTCTAGCACTGACAACTCCTGGAGCTCGACTGGCGGCGGCGCTGCGGGCGCGTGGGACTGACTTCTTGCACGCTAACAGTGCCAGCACACCAGCCGTGGTCGTCGTCGTCGTCGTTGTCGTCGTCGTCGGTGTCGTCGGTGTCGTCGTTGCCGTCGTCGTCGTCGTCGTCGTCGTCGTCCTCGTCGTCGTCGTCGTCGTCGTCGTCGTCGCGTTTCTCGCGTACACTCTCGCTCTAACGACGACGAGACAGAGAGAAAAAGAGAGAGAGAGAGAGAGAGAAAGAGAGAGCGCGCGCGCGCGCGATCGACTACTACTCTGCTCCGCTGCCTTCTCTCCCTACGTGTGTTGGCCGTCGCGCGAACGCGAGAGAGAGAGAGAGAAAGATAGAGAGGTGCAGCGGCTGGGATACGCGCCTGCGCTACGAACACTCGATACCACCGCCCCAGCCACAACGCCAGCGATGGATTTTTTTCCTCTGTCGTTCTTTGGACGTAGCGTCGCGCGTTTTCACCTCATTTTTTTTTCGAAATTCCCACCGTGCGAGGAGAGCTTGCGAATGTTTTTTGCGAAAGCTTTGCCTAGTCACCAAAATTGGCCAAAAATTATCTTACAGATATAGAGCGAGGCAATGTGAAAGTGCGAGGGAAGAACAAGTAGAGAGAGAGAGAGTGAGATCAGTCGCCCCACCCTCGGCGGCTGCTGCTGCTGCTACATCAAGGGGCTGCTGGCGCTGCTGGACCTCTACAGGGCAAGGACCGAACTACAACGCTTGCCGCGCCCTTACCTCCGCTTACGTCTTCAACCCGTTAGCTTTCGATCGCCCCCTCTCTTCTCTCTCTCACTCTCTCTCTCTCTCTCTCTCTCTCTCTCTCTCTCTCTCTCTCTCTCTCTCACTCGGTTCATCAGCGACCGAAAGAGTGTAGAGAAAAAGTAAAGAGAGGGGACTTTTTGATGATGAGCTTGCGATGGCTGTAAAGGCATTTTACGTCGGCACAGCGACTTACACTAAATAAATGAAAGCTGCAACTTTTCTTTACACGGTTTGACTGTTGAGGAGAGTCAGCAAGCACGTTGCATGAATATTTATCGAATAAATTGGAGTGATAAGTAATGTTAAATGTAATTTACGAAAGTAAAGAAGACGGAGAGACGGAAGTTGTTGCGTGAGTAAAGTCGCGATTGCAAAACGTGTAAAATTTCGGCACTAATTCAACCGCGCTCGCGAGAGAGAGAGAGAGAGAGAGAGAGAGAGAGAGAGAGAGAGAGAGAGAGAGAGAGAGAGAGAGAGAGAGGACGCTGAAAGTAGGTCAAACTCTATTGCATCGCTTGAACAACACTACGCCAACTCAAATTTTTGAGATTATTGGCCTGTATTGCCCTGTAAAATAGCTTACGCGCGTGGAGCTCTGTAAGATGCTGTTAAGCGGTATATTATACTCGCGTGCACGCGGTTGTGCTGCTGGTGTTTACAGTTACGTGACTAAATGCAATTTTCATCGCCAAGCGCGACAGAGAATCTCCCCGCGTTGTTGTAAAAGCGCGCTAATGCCTGTAATCCCGAGATTTTCAAAAGGACAGATTGCGAGTGTCACGTTGACACGCACGTGTCCCACTGCCCGCTAAATACAGCTCTCGATCGAAGCAAAATAACAGTACATTACGCCACTAGGGAGTACTATGAGCAAAGTACGCACCGGGCGAAGTTGGCATTTCACACTGCAGTGCGCGTTTGCGAACTTCCGCGTTGCGTATTTAGCACGTTACCCAACTAGTGCGAGAAAGTAGATTTTTGCCTCGTGTATGGGTTTTCGACTTCATTTCGCTCTGGCGCAAAACAACACACACGAGACAAGAATCAACTTTCCCGCACTAGTTAGCTAATGCACTATTCCGTATCCCGGCAAAGGGGTGATTGTTGCGCCCTCAGCAGGCGACACAGAACCGTATCGACTGTCAAGAAGTAAAGTGCCTCGTGTACACGCGATGCGCCGTTTCACCGGTCGAGCCGTCACAGGCGAAAGCGATCAAGGCGCGACGCGCGTGCGCGGAGCGCTTTAGTCTTGTCCATGCGGTTCTACGTTCCCTGTTAGGAGGGCGCACAGTCGCCACTTTACGCGCAGCAACTATCGGACAACGGCAAACAGAGCTTCCTAAATCAATTATGAAGTTGCGCTCGTTAAAGAGGGATAGCGAAAGAGCGAATAGAAGAGAGAGGCCTAACAACGAACAAAGTTGAATGCCCATTGACGAGTGCGTGTGCACATACGCCAGCTGAGAAGGCAGTATCAAGGCGAGAGCACGCTGATTCGTCTCCGCGAGACGAATTTCACTAATGAACGAGGCCCGCCTGTAGCAAAAGCGCGTGTGCGCCTGGCTGTGTGTATGCTCCACGTGCGAAGGAGAGAGACGTTGAAGAATTGATGGGAGCGCCGCGGCGCCGCCGTCGCCGCAAGCCATGCCTTATTTATCGCGCGACTACGTGAAATATACCTATACCTATCACTTTCTTTAGCTATACGTATCATAGTCTTGTCTAAACCCGTAAAGTAGCCTAGACTATCGTTTTTCTTGCACCTTTAAACTGACCTCTTCTTTTTTTTTCCTTTTCCGACACGCCTCCAGGATTTTTATTTTCTTAAAATATCGAGTCATTCTTATTTTTTCATTGGTGATATTTCATATAGCGACGTGAGAGCACTGGAAATATTCGTACCTCCAATGTGTTTTCCTTTTAGATTTACGTGAATGAAGGAAAAGAGGCAAAGCAACGGTTCAAAAAGAAGATCAAAGAAAGAAAAAGTATTGCAGATTGGAGGAAATGTGTGTGGATTCAGTGATGAACGTGCAAAAGAAAATGCAATTGTCGCATTTCACTTGCGTTTCGAAATAGTAAATAATAGTTGATTGAATAGCGATGTAAAGATGTACACGACGTTAAACAAATCAACATCAATAATTTTTAGTTATTTGCTCTTGGAAGAAAGCTCATGAATTTTGCTTTATCTCCTCTAGTATATTATATTTACGACTATCTTATATATGATAGCCAAAGAGAGTTCGTTAATTCAATTGCCAAGATCTGACTGATGAGCACTCCAACTTTCCCTTCCAGCATCACAGTAAGGGCAGCAAATATTACCTCTAATGTGATTACGAAATCGTTTCCAAGTTCGTGACATTAACAATAATAAAAGAACCAAGTACTAAAACATGGTTATATCGTACGGCTACGCAAAATATATCAACCTACTCACTTCTCTATTTTCATGTCAGAGTAAGAGGTCCGATATGATACATATGATTAAAATAATTGATCAATCGGCATTCGAAGACGAATATCTGTGGCTTATTAAAGTTATGACTGTTGACTGAATTGGTTTAAAATAAACCATTTTTTTTATCACCAACACACTTTTTTCCTAATTGATACTTGATTGAACAAATAGTTATTTATGTAAGAAATATTTAATTAATTATATAGAATCGTATGCACGGATATCAAAAAGGAACAGTTAAATAAAATATGAACCTTATAAAATATAAGCATGAATTCGAAAAATTTAATTAATGGTATAACGATAAAATTACAACCAGTAAATTGACGGATTCATCGTAAACGAAAATTGGCTGTGTATTCAAGTAAACTTTAAATTGAAACAGTATTCAACATAATCCGTTCAAATGTTCTTTTAGTAATACAGAAAGAAAAATAACAAGGTGCCTTGTTCGCCATTTTTATTTTCTCTTTTACTATCTTATCACGCCATATAAATTCCTACGTATACGCAAATTCAATTGCAGTTCGTTTTTACCTCATAAAAAATACAACCATAACACACATATATATTATCAATCATTTTTAAGAACATTCAACTTTAAGTTTGCGCATATATAGACTATAAATAATTGATTAAACAATCTATTAGAAACAATTATATAATGTTCCAAAACAAAATCTTACCACAGACTCCACTAGCCGACAGCATTAATAGGTGAACTTCTATTTTTGTATGTCACAGAGTCGACAAAGTCGGTGTGCAGAAAACGAAGATCGTAACATTGGCGAACGTTGGCCTAACATTCAGCCTATTATTAATAGACTCGGGTAACCTTTTGCTGCAAGAGAATAATCCTTCCGAGTCAATTCTGTCACACCAAAATGAATTCTTTTTATAACAAGAGAAGTACCCTCTTGCCCCTTTTATTCTTTTTCATTTTGTGTCAAAAAAGACAATCCGTTTATCACAAGAGGATTCGCCTCTTGTCAAACGAACTACATATTCTTTTTTCAAATAACGTCGAAATTGTCAAACTGATATAGTCACGAAATTTACTTTCCTATCTTAGTGAAATGGTGAGTCGCCGATATTCAGTATCGTGATTGGCGTAAAACGAGCGCGAAAATTTGAATTTTTGTATACTTTGAAATATTTACGTTATGCATAATTCAGAAAAACAAGTCCTCTTGCTATAAAATAAAAATCCTTCCTTATCAAGATTATTTCATCAAAATTTTCTTTGAGTCGCAAGAAAATCCTCTTGTTACACGAGGAATCCTCTTTCATCAAGAGTACATTTTTCCAAACGTAATTGAAGTTTTATCACGTATATTTCGCACTAAAATTGTTACTTACGCTTCTTCAAGAAATTCTAAAACATTCTTTTGATATTCTGTTCTTGCCAAAGCCATGTCTGCAGACTTGAAAAATGTTACTGAAAATCTTCGTGATTAATGTATTGTTTTACTTGTAGGTATAATCAATCATTTTCGTCATACCTGTTGAATAAATCCATGAAACAGGTTGCAATAATGGTTGATTGACATTCGATCTGTGAGCGTGCGAAATATCCTGGAAGAAACTTCTATATCCACACTTCTGATGATTGGTTAAATGTGTGGACCTGACAACTAACAGAAGCGAGCTCAAAAACAGTGTTCTTGGCAGGAAAATCGCAACATTTTTAGCCACGATGATCCGATGAATTATCCAATCCCGTTTTGCATATAAGTAATTATACACATTCTATTTTTTCACGTACAATATATAATTTGAAAAATTGTTTAGAATATGTGTTATCTTAGTTTTTCAGTGGACTGTTGCGCAAATCATAAATTTGAGTTTTATTTGTTTTAAAATGTAAAACAGCTTGCTTGAAACCTTTGCTGGGTTAACGTTATACAAAAATTTAATACATGTTTTTTTTTTAATTCTACTCTTTAATGAAGCCTTTCATTGTTCCCATTGGTCAATATTTTCTAATCTAGCAAAGACATGCCTAGATAAGCTTTTTCGTTAATTGGCATCATTTGTTTACTGTCATTATTTACGCAAGTATTGATTGCTTTTGTTTGTGTCGTAAGTAAAAATTTTAGATATATAAAAAAACATTAACTATGAAGATAACAATTCTGCTAGATCCCGGTACAGTAATAAAAATGGTTGACTTGAGTCATATAACTACTAGGCATACTCATATGTAAACGTCCGTACAAAATCATGTATGATATAAAACTTGTATGACCGTCTCCTTCTACATTTGTAGCCTCGTTATCCGACCAAATGGTTATCACCAATGATACAATGAGTAAAAGTAGTAAACATCATTATTTGCCTTTACGTTTTCAATATCTTATGCTAATTTTGAAACTTTAGTTGTCTGTGCGTCGTTATTATAACTAGGTGTAGAAAATTTTGTTATTTGGAACTGCGTGAAAAGTTAACAAACTTATTTAGTTCACAACCTTTATACTCTATTTTCATAATCTATAATCAGAAAATAGAAGACGATTTCATTTTGGTGCTTCATTTCCTGCAAGAATTGATTCGGAAAGCCATGCTTCATTTCCTGCGAGAATCGACCCGGAAAAGCTTTTATGGCAGAATTTTTTCGATATGAGAAATTGTGATATCATTGAACTTGAATTAGTATCGATTTTAACACTTCAAAATGTTATTGAACTTAGATTAGAAAAGTTTGCCACTTGAAAATGCGTAAAATTAAAAAAAAAACCTGTTCTTTGCATGCTCTATATTTAATTTTCTATACCCATATAAAAAAATAAAGAATGATTTCACTGTGAAGCTTCATTTTGCAAGTATCGATTATGGAAAACTTTTACAACGTGATCTTTTTGATGCAAATTGCATTGAACTCGAGGTAGAAAAAGTATTTATGTATCTACACTACTAATCAAAACGTCATTGAACTAGGTTTATGAAACCTTGCCATTTGAAACTCCTTAAACTTAAAAAAAAACAATTTGTTTCGTAACTTTTCTATTTTATTTTCGCAATCTATATTCAGAAAATAGTGAACGATGTTATGCTTCATTTCTTGCGAGAATCGACTCGGAATAGCTTTTACGACAAAACTTTTTCGATATGACAAATTGTAATGTCATTGAACTTGAAATAAATCTATTTCAACTCTATTAACCAAAATATCACTGGACTTGGATTAGAAAACTTTGCCTTTTGAAACTACTTGAAATTAAAAAAAACAGTTTGTTTTGTATTTTTTCTATTTTATTTTCAAAATCTATATTCAGAAAACAGAGGAACGATTTTATTTTGTGAAATTCTTATATAAAAGTAAAAAAATAAGAAAATCGAAATAACGCCCATTATACAAGTTATCTTGCTTTACAAAAATAAAATGACTATTATTATTTTTACATTCATAATTTGTTTTGCGAATAAAAAGTAATGTATTTACGTGCTCAATCTTAAATTTTAATCTTACATTCATTTTGATAGTTGATAATCTATTTGTTCGCTTCGATATTTGGTTTAGCTATGAATATTTATACATAACGGAGTTAGTACCTTCAATTTGAATAGGTTCTTCAACAATTTTCCTCTATATTTCAATATTTATAATAAAAAATAAGAAGTGTACCTTCAAATTTTTAATTTAAATAGAAATTAAAATTTAATACAAGGTAGTTAAAGCTATTTTATTTACAGATTAACATTTAATGTATTTCAAAATGATTATTTAAAAAATTTAAAAATAAATAAAAAACGTTTTGTTATTGATAACTTATTATTTTTAAGTTCTTTTTAAAAGTTGAAACTGCGTCATCGGTATATAGAAACATTGTGCAATAGATGAAAAAAATGTTGTTAAGACGACGTTAAACGGTTAATTGTTGGAAACTGACGAATAATGGAAAGAATATAAAAGAATAGAAAGGCAAAACCCGTAACCCATCGATTCTAGTTTCTATTTCCACCATTATCAAGTTTTCTCATCTCTTAATTATCTGATTGAAGGTTTACTCGAAGTTCGATTATCTATATAAGTTTTATTCAGATCTCATTCAAATTACTCAATTACTTTTCATGTTATAGACATATATATCCAATAAAAACTCTAATTTTTTGGCTAAAATCGTTAATACAATTCGTTCACGGCATTTGCTAGTCAAAAATATAACAGAATTGAAAAATTGCCTTTTTTTAGATTGGTTTATAGCAATAAGTGGCGTACTCCAAGCGTACCAGGGGTATGACTATTGGATGAGGCAACAAACACAACGTTTTAAGAACCAAATGTCTTTCTCGTTTGCTACACCGAACGTAGCATTAAATTAACATTTGAAAAATTACGAATAATAATTAAGTATTTGATCATGCTAGTTTTATAAACAACAATAATTTATATTTACAATTTTTATTATTTGATTCATTTTCTATAGGCTATTGCAGCAGAAGCTGGTCGAGCAACTTGTAGTCAAGTGATATTTCTGCTAGAATTGATCATGCAGCTGACAAGTAAAAAATATTTGATTGAAAATCATCAAATTGACAGCAATACTGGATTTAAATACATATTAATTATTCTATTTTTTTTAATTCATATGAAGAATTCAATTCTTTGCGTTTTTTTCAGGGTACCGTGCGCCTGAGTCTATATATATAAGGATTAAACATAAGGAGTCTACATATAGAGTCCCATGAAAATATAGCTAACGCTGTAATATCAAAATAAGCCAAATGCCAGAATTTGATATCTAAATTTAAGGTTAGAAAGAATTGAGTTAACATTTTAAATACTCACGAAAAATCCCTTTCAAGTACTTAGTTTCAGCGAACTACTACTACTCCCACTTTTCTGCATACTTATTATGTTTTGCCATGTAAATTACAAACGTGCATCTTAATAGTAATTGCATTCCCACATAGCTCAACTGGTATAGTGATAACAGCCGTATACGTCGACAAATATTTTTTGATAGTAGTAATTAATGCTTGATTAACAAATATTTTAAAATTGCAAGCGAAGAAATTCGAAAAATTCCAGAAGCAACTCGTAACTAATAGGAAATTCTTTAGAATTTCCATCTATTGTTTCTTTCGCAAACGCAAGATATTTGACAAAATCTCTTCCTTTTTTTATCGTGAAACGCGATTTTCCATTACATTTTTTCAGTTTTACCTTTATTTTCCTCTTGAGATACTATTGACGTACTGGAACTGGAATTTAGTGATTTCTTGAAAGTATTTTTCTTGATTATGATTGTCACCTCTTTTGCAGTATTATCCTTACTGTATAATGGGAACTCTTTGGGTTGTTTCATGTCGAGAATTTCTGTGTTCTGGCTTGTAATAGTTTTAGTTGCGTTAGCGCTTTTCGAGCTTTGACAGAATCTCGCTAAGTGACCTTCTTATTAGGAGCTTTTTCATTGAAAAGTATACCCCTCTGGAAATTACTATATAAATTTTGTATATATCTTTGGACAAAGTTTGAACACAACATGTATAAAATATGCATATAATACGTATAAACGTATACATATTACGTACATATTTTGTAAATATTACTTTCATATTTTGTTCATATTTTGTATATATTTTGTATATATTTTGTACATATTATGCATACAATTTATACAATACTTCCAATATAGTCATAGATTGATAAATGAAATCGATATAAATGGTTGTAGAACTTTATTATAATCCTATCTAATTACTTCTAATCATTAAACACAAAACATTTTCATGTTATAAATTTGAAAATAATTTTAAGCTATCACTTTGGATTGCATAAATTTTATGTATCATACGTACAAAATGTAAACCAAATATTTAGAATATGTACATAGCATGTACATTGTATACATTCGATACATATTACGTGTGTACTTTAAACATATTGTGTTCAAGTTTTCTATAAAGATATGTACAAAATTTCATGTACATTTGCTTCTTAAAGCTTAGTAAATAACTGAAGGATGGGTATTATACAAAAGGCGCAGGAATATATAGCTGAACATTTAAAATCAATACTCATTTTACTTTTGAAACTAAATTTCTGATAATCAAGTTCTTCCTGTGAGGATAGCTGACTTTTCCTAGACAAGCTTGTCTACGAGATCCTTGCTATTGGCGTAGAAGTAAATACGGGTATGAATTATTCACAAAGCATACAATATTTATTTTTCATTCACAATTTTCCAAAACTTCAAAATTTATTCTTCGACAAGATGCCTTTCAATGGAGTCAATGATGAATGCTTGTTCACGAGACAAGACCTTTTCTTGCTGAATAACTTGAGAAAATGAAACTTTATTATTATAGCCATATTTTCTATTACGTTACAGTTTGTCACGATGACCTGGCTTCTTTAGTCAGAGGCTAGACACTTAAAAACACGAAGAAAAAATGAAAAACAAAAAACAAAAACAGTTATTTTTCTTAATTAGTCGCTCTTTTTCACTGCTCGAAAACTCATCATATACGCTAGGAGCGAGTAGTTATTTTTGAATTGTATCCGAAAATTACTTTTCACTCTTGTGAATCCATCTGCTGAGTCATAAACAAATTTTCTCTCATTTCTACGTCGTTTTATTTATGGAATTAACATACTGCAAAATTAAAAAACGAGCTATTCTAACACACTATATCGTTTGAAATATGATTGAATGCTTTTTACGTCTTTTATACAGTAGAATTTTATTGAGAATCCTCTTCAATTTCAAGCCATAAAAAAATTATTCCCTATTTTCGAGGCTTCTTATATAACTCACATATCACGAAACTCGGAAAAATGATCCTTTAGTTCTCCTCCCATTGGAAACATCATCGTTAAATAAATATTGTTTCCATCTTCTGTAGTATAAAGTTAAATACTCTTTTTATATCCAAATTGCAAACGAATATTTTCGATTTTCTATGGCAATTTGAATCCACTCGAAATTTCGAAAATCATAATTACAAGTATATGTTCTCTATTTATAAGTTAAAGTAATTGCCATAATTATTTAAGCAGTTTTCACATCTTACATGCAGTAAGATCCAGAAGTTTTTATAGTAAAGTGTCGAAGAAACATTTATCTATGATGCTATAGCCATTTATATATATCGCGAACAGCGTAAAAATGAGTATGATAGGATTCTTATTTAAGCCTTTAATCTCCTGTCAAAGTAACTGTAATCGTCTCTACATCTTTGGACAAGGGGACTCTAGTGGTTACCAAAGCGAATTCATGATCTGTAAGTCGCGGATTCGAATCCTTGCGTGGGTGATGTAATTTTAGCGATGTAGTGCTTTCTAAAATGAACGAAATCCAAAGTTGTCTTTGAGGTTTCGGCTTGGATTGCTTGAGTTTGAGCTCTATCAAATGGCGGGTACTGAATAGTCCTGGCCCACGTGAAAATCTTGCATTGTTTACAACGCGATCGTTAACATTGATATGAAATATAGCATCAGCTGTTGAGACAACGATTCAAAACAACGGAACGAGCATTGAACTAACAAATGCATATATAAAATACAATTGATTTCTAAAATTAAACAATTGTTTTTATTAATATGAATATTTTCATTCTCATTGAAAAAATAGTATACGTCATTTGTCGATCGAGTAGGTAATTTCTGTCTGATTTGTAATCTATTATTTTTTATTAGTTTTTTAAAATTATTTTCGTAGTTATATCTAGAGTTGTCTCCGATAAAACATTTCACTGGAATAGCTGGCAACATTTTTCTATTTGATTTGGGTAAAATCAACACACATTGATGTTTTTCAAAAATTCCTAAAATTTTCGAATTTACCACATTTTTTCACAAATCAGCTGTTCAAGCATAGCTGCCGTTTATTTTTAAACTTCACAGAAAGCAGACAACCCAGCGCTATATAATATCCCAGATAGCATGCATTTGTAGATGTTTGACGAGCAGAAGATTGTTTTTATTATTGTTTATATTATTATAAATTTATATTTATATGCGTTCTGAAGTATATTTAAAGTTAGCATCATTACATTAGACTGACTTTAAAAATGTTAATGAAGTATAGATCAATAAGTATCGATAATGTAACTAAATACCTAATAAGAAAAAAGTATTAAACTTGCCGGCCCAGTATTGAACTATAAAAGTCTATAGTTGTATTTAAAAATAACAGCTGTTTCGACTTTTTTTGTAATTAAGTCTGGTGTATTATATAGTGATCCATAATTTCCAACAAACTGCGACTAATTATTAAATGTAATAAGAAGAATAATTCTTAACCTCAGTTTCAAAAAATCGTGTTCAACATGATAAAAAAAACTGCAATACTCGGTCCGAAATCTTTTACACGAGTTTGTCAACTACGATGCCTGTCGCAATTAGCAGCAAAACGACAGGAAAATGCAGCTGAAAAAATGTTAGCATGGCAAATACATTCTTATGGTAGTTTAGATGAATTGAAATTATCAAAAGCTAGATTGCCAGTACTTGTGCGACCTTCTGATGTTATAATAAAAGTGGATGCTGCTAGTGTTAATCCAATTGATGTAGCCATGGTTTGTAAGTATTATTCTGTTAATTGTTGTATAATTTTTTCAATATGCTTAAATGAATTTTTTGAACAATTTCTATTTTTATATGACATGATTTTAGATGGATATGGTTCAAAAGTATTGAATGTTATGCGTAAAGTAAAGGGTTGTGTGGGTAAACCATACAGTGATATTGAGTTTCCACTAACAATGGGCAGAGACTTCGCCGGAACTGTAGTTTCTATAGGGCATGGAGTTGATAGACTCAAAATAGGTGACGAAATTTGGGGTGTTGTTCCTATAGAGCAACAAGGATGTCATGCTAATTATGTTATGGTCGACAGCTGTTTGGTAATGATTGAATTTAATGCCAAAGTTCTATTAGTAAAAATTAATTAAAATAAATTTTAACAACATTAATTAATAAATTATATCATTATAGGTCAGTCCTAAACCTAAAAATATATCTCATGTTGAAGCTGCTAGCATATTATATGCTGGATTGACTGCATGGTCTGCATTGTGGTACACTGGTGGACTTTGTTACAAAACAGTTATTCCTTCACAAATGTACAAAAAAATTTTAGTTCTGGGTGGCTCAGGAGGTGTTGGATCTATAGCCATTCAACTTTTAAAAGCTTGGAATATGCAAGTAAGCTGAAATTAGTTTGTTTCTTTTATTTAATAATTTTGCTGAGATTTAATAAGGATTATCACTATATTGAAGGTAACTACAACTTGCAGCATTGATGCAATAGATATGTTGCAAGAGTTAGGTGCAGATGTAGTTATAAATTACAAGGAAAGTGATGCAGATTCAAAAGTTATTGCAGAGGGGCCGTAAGTTATTTACTTTTCCAATTTGCTGCTAGGCAAATAATTTCATTTATTTTTTATAGGTATGACATTATACTTGACTGTGCTAATCAAGGGTTTGAAAATATGAAATCTAAAGGCTACCCTCATTCCAACTATATAACGTTAAATTCACCACTCTTAAAAAATTTTGATGAGCATGGTTTACTGTTGGGAGCTATAAAAAATTTTGGTGATTTGTTCAAGCAGAATATACCAATCAGTGAAAAGCAAAGCTTTGTTAAATGGGGATTTTTCGCGCCATCTCCAACAGGAATCAAAGTGATCGAAGAGCTTGTGGAAGCAAAAAAAGTACTTTATTTTATTTTTTATTTTTAATTTGGTTAATTTTATTTATTTCAAAACCATCATTTTTGAATAAAAATGTCCTTTCAGATAATTCCAGTTATTCAAGAAATTTTTCCTTTTGATGCCTTACCTAAAGCTTATGAAAGAGTAAGTGAGGGCCATTTAAGAGGAAAGGTTGTGATTAATATGAGGTAAAAAGTTGTGTTGACTATAGTGTGTTTGAATTATTTTTATATTAAATTAATATCTAGCTTTTATTTGTACAAAGAAATTAGGTATATTATAATAAATATTCATCTTTGTTATAAATGTTATCTATTAAATTGTAAATGCAATTTATCTGAAATTATTGATAATGTACCAATTCCATAACCAACTTTATTCCTTACTTCTAACCAATTTGTTATAGCAATATTTTCTGCTTTTCTAGCTCCCTGTTGTAAAACTTCTTTTAGATATTCTGGTTCATCCATAAATTCATTGATACGTTTTCTGATAGGATTTAATTTTTCTATTACAATGTCAGCCAGTAATAATTTATATCTAAAAATGATCACAAATTTAAACAATTGAATATTTATAATTTTAAAAATATAAAGTAGATGTATACTAACTGGCCAGTATTCAAATCTTCAACTTCTTTACAAATTTGTTCAACTGACTTTCCTGTGATCATTGAATGTATATTTAATAAATTAGCCACACCAGGCCGTTTTTCAGGCTCATACGTAATTTCTGATGTGAAATCTGTGATAGCTTTCTTTACTTTATTCAGTAAAACATCTGGTTCATCTGTTAAGTCAAGGCGACTTTTGACATCTGTAGATGATTTAGACATTTTGTCTTCTGGATCTCTCAATGACTTAATTCTACCAGCATTTTCTGTAAAAAAATTAAACAAATTAAAAAATGTGAAAATATTTTCACAGAAAAATATTAAATGCCAAATTTCAAAAGAATAAATTTACTGTAAATAATTGCAATCGGCATAGGAAATGTTTCACCATAGACTGAATTGAATTTTTGTGCTAAATGTTCTGCTAATTGTATATGTTGAAGTTGATCTTCTCCTACTGGTACATGAGTTCCTCTAAATGAATTGTATAAAAAATTATATATGTGTATATTAGTAATGAATATTCTATTAAAATAATGGCTAATGAAATAAAACTGACTTGTACAATAAGATATCAGCAGTTTGTAAAACAGGATAAATGTAAAGGCCTAGAGGAATATTTTTTATTTTTTCACTTTTCTCTTTGAATTGAGGCTGATGAGTGAGTTTTGGCATTGTAACTAAACATGAAAATATCCAACTTAATTCAGCATGCATAGGCACAGTTGATTGCTGAAATAAAATGCTTTTTTCTGGATCAATACCACATGCCAACAGAGTAGCAGTCAATTTCAGGATATTTTGTCTGAGTTCCATTGAGTTCTAAAATATTGTATTATATTTATTTAAAATTTCCAATAGCTTTGGATATTTACAAAAATACTAAAATTCTTACATATGGAAGTGTAATGGCATGCATGTCAACAATGCTCCAAATTACATCTTCTCCATTATTTTGCATATCAACCCAATTTTGTATTGCACCTAAATAATTTCCTAAGTGTACAGTGCCTGTTGGTTGAATCCCTGAGAATATCCGTTTAGGATAACTTTTTCTTGGTATCTGATTGTTCAAAAACATGTCATTAAGTATCATTATATTAATTTATTTTAAACATTTCAAAATTTTCATTACCTTACTGTAAGTTCTTTTGGAGGTAAGTCTTATATTTGTGCTTTGACATATTTTTAATTGATTGAGCAATAGATTTTTCGTCTCTAGAAATTTTTTAAACATTGGTAATTTATTTATTTATTATAAAGCTTAAAAATACAAATAGCAGTCCTTGTTGGCGGAATTGCAAGGTTAGGATGATCAGCTGACTTCTGCTATACGTACATGTGGGATTTAAATTTTTGCGGGACATTTATGTCGTCTGCTATTGTAAAACGCTTATGGAAAGATGTTTGATTAACATTCATTATACAATGTCAACTTACATAAGTACAAGTGCAATTCATTTTTTAACATTGTCAACGCAATGTAACTTCATTAACGATTAATTTTGTTTTAAACAAGATACAATTTGACTCCGTTAGTTATTGTTTACTTTGAAAGTGGTTTCCCAAATGTTTCGTCCTTGAAAAGGAGACTTTCCATGATTTTTGTCTAGACGGACCCCGCGATTAGTTGAGACTTTTATTGCTGTTGTGAAATCCGAGTTTAATAAAAAATAAGCATTGTAAAATCATTCAAACCCAATAGATTTTAAATAAAAATGGAGAATTCAAATGCTGAAAAGAATTGGAGTGCATGTGCCAAAAATGCGGCATTTTCAGACCTGAATACAAAACTTAACGACAGTGTCAATAAACTTTACTGGTGAGTACATTACAGTTTTCAGCTGATTACCTTTTCAATAGAGTTAATAGCATGAATTTGTTCATAAAAGAATCCATTTGTAATGCATCGGTCGATAAATTTGATGGACTTTCGATACATTTCCAGTGAATCGGACGAGAACAAAAACAGCGCGTACTTAGTCCGGGACAATGCAATAAGATGTCCAACGGATAACTCAATTGCAAGCCTCGTGCCAGAGATGAAAAACCTGCGGATGGCACGGCAGGAAAAGGAACCGGAGTATGTAGCTGGTTATATCAAAGCTGTTATCCCACTAAGCCGAACGCTAGTGATTCAACATGCACCAGGAAGTAAAATCCTCGACATCGGCACTGCGATTTTCACGCGCAAGTCGAACGCTCAAAATTACGAGGAGATTGGTTTGATTTCGGATATTTTTGGCTCTATCAACAATCCCATGTACGCCGTACTGTTAAAGAGGAAAGCTGAGAGTGATTTTTTTAAGCTAGATTCGAAAGTTTTCTATCTGTACGGTCATCCAAACACAAGATTTGTTAGTGTTCAGTGCGATGGGAATAATCGTTACACTGTGATGTATTCGTAAAAGTTATGTTCCTTTGGGACTTAAGTTTTTTATTATGTTGTCTTTTTATACGCATTTTAATTCTTTATTTTATAAAATAAAAATGAACTTTTAATTTGAGCATTTATGTTGTGGAATTGTAATGGCTACGTTTATTTTTAAGATTAGAGAACAGCTTTCAATATTAATGTCTTAATATTTGTGTTTTTGTTAATGTTATTACAAGTTCATGTTATTTTAATATTATTATTGAGTTTTCATTCATAGTATACAGATAATATCAAACATTAAATGCCATCATATTAACAGTTATCGATTAAATATACTGATTGCACAAGATCATTATTTTTTTACATGTTCACTAATAAAGTTTTGGATGTATGTTTTTAGTATACGAATAAAATACTGTATAACAATTTTACGTCCAACCCCGTCTGGAGGAAAATTTAAATATAGTGTTTATTCTAGTAATAGCTTTTTTACTACCAGTGATAAAAAGTTACGAACGATGTTAACAACATTCCATTTATTTTTCAAATCATTTCCCTGCACAAATATTACTCATTCGTAAAATAATTGGGAGAAATATAATAATAATAATATTAAATTGAAAACAAGTGGAAATATGCATAATTTACTCAATTTGTCGATAACAGTTGTAGAAATTTAGAATGTTTCTATAAACTGTTCTCAATATTAATCCAACGGCTGTTTCAATTGACTTACGATACACGAAAGTTTTCAATTTTTAGACGTAATCATTCATTTATAAGAATGCCTTTATATCGAAGTCTTCTAATAGTATAAAATTATTTCTCGAGTTATTCAATAATGAAAATTTTACTCCACAATAAGGTTTCTATCAACGATAGTATGTTGTCTCCTCGAAATGACGTGGTCACGAATTATATATAATACAGAATCATAGCAATGTTATCTTTAAAAATTATTCTTAGAACGCTGGAAAATATTTTTTTTAATGTTTATTTTTGCACTTAATTTATTTTTGAAGAATAACTATTCAAGTGAATGACTGAAAATACTTCATTGACTTTATCTAAAAATGTATTCATAATCTTTATTTTTATTTTACGCTATAAGAAAAACAAGGTCTTTTAGTTTTTCCTGTAAAGAAATCTGTTATTACAACGAATTTCTAACAGTAAGCAAGGATTTCATACAAAAAACAATTTCAGATGCTGATCGTAAAAGATAATGGCTATTGTTTAGAAACAAAAAGACATATTTCTTCCGTGTTCAAGGGAAGCCAAATAATGGAGCAATCGGCAACTTACTTGTGAGCTAAATACTCGTAAAACATTTTAGCTTGCATTTTTTTCTTCATAAAGTCGTTCTTTAAAACATTGGTTGCAGATGTAAATGAGTGCTTCGTTTGAATTATCGTCTTTACAAAAGAATTATCCCTTCCACGGAGAAACTAGTATAGTTCAATGCTTTTGCAAGTAAGCTATAATATTTTTCTGAATGCAAGCATTAATGTTGTTGTTAGTTTGAATATTTTCTAATTGGATTGCTTTTTTGTAAAAAATAACAAAAACTTATTAGATAACCAAACGCAAAACACTATTATTTATGAATGATAAAATTGAAATCGATTTCATCATTCACAAATTAGAATTTTTCATTTTTAAGATAGCTTCAATGTCAAATATATTATTTAGATTCCCATGATCAACGAAGGTGTCATTTATAATAGAATTAAGTTCGGATCTGAATTTCAAAAGCAAACAGTGGGAAAAAAATATTTCATATGAAATAAGTTTATTTTAAATAAGATTTTTTGAATTAATAAATGAATTAACGGTGGCATGCAAAACTTTTCAGCACTTATTGGAAAAATATTGCTAATTTTAAAGGAAATTATAAAAAATGCATTGATAGTGGAATAATAGTGACCAATAAAAATCTCTTGCACCTCTATCAAACAATAAATAAAAAAAATATACGTCGATTGTGTTTCAACATAAAACCTATTTCCATGCTTCCCGAGAAATTTTCATCACATCGTCTACAATTAGTTGGATTAACGAAGTCAAATGTCATAAATAAGTAGTAGAAAAAGGTCATTACATCACTGAATTGCAACGAAACGACAAGTCAGCAAAAACGACAATAATGCGCAAGTCATATTTATTGTCACAAAGAAGACGAAACTAAAAGTAAATAAAGTAGTTAATCTCTGATAACATGTATACAAATAATCCTTTGAAAACATATAAAAATCAAAATAGAACAGTGTAACACTAGCAGAGATTAGAAGGGCAAGAGAGATTGCTGAGCTGACCCGACTCGTATCTAGACGCACGGTCAGTATATATACCCCCTCCATAGCCTTTCGTCTGACTGGAACTGGAAACAGTATACAACAGCTTCAACAACTTGGGCACCACGGGGCGCTCGTATCAGCGGCTCAAACCTAGCAGTCCTGGCACCGGCCAAAGCCTAAAGCATTGTAGTTAGTTTAGTGGTTTAGTCAGTTTTGGAGCAACAAAACTCGGTAATGTCACAAGGAACGTGAATGTTCATGGCCAATCCAAGAAAGAAGAAGTTTTGGAACAGCGCCGGCACGCGCGTTCTGAAAAAGAAAGTAGCGTGTGCGGGAAATCATCCAGCGAGAGAGAGAGATTTGAGAGCGACTACAAGTCTAAAGTAAAAAGTAGCATCGCTGCTTGGCGTAAAGCGAATGAAAGAGAGGGAAGGTTTAAGTAGCGGTGGCGGTGGCACACATGTCGTCGAAGGTTTTGGAGCCGTGTACACTTTCGCATCAGCAGCCTGCAGCAGCAGTACGGCACAACTACCACGTACAATTGTCGAGGAGACGGCCTCTCATTATGTCCACCTCCAGCACGGTGTCAACTCCTAGCAGTAAGAAAATCATGACGGTGAGTGCCAAATATCACCGCTCCGATTCATTCATATCTCCACTTCTTTTATCAATTGCGCGTCGGTATATGCAGTGACAAGTGAACTATAAACTCCATGAGTGAACTGTTCCATGGGATTGCTGTTGTTGCTGTTTGTCTTTCGAACGTGGGTGTGTGCGTGTGTGTTGTCGCTCAGCTGCTCTCGAGTCTGCGCACATCGTTGCACATCAATTTGATAAGCTTCCAATTATTATTGGCAACAAGCCGCGGATTTTACTTTCTCTTTTATTGTGCGTAACGCGATATATACTTTCCAATTAGAATTTATGCTTGTTTTTTTTCTTGTTTGATATTTAATAACCTAGTAGAAGTCTTATTTGGTAAATGCCTTTTAAATTATTAAATTTTACTAGTTTTTCCATTCATTACCTTAATAATTTGAATGATAACATTATTTTTAGAAAATTAAACTATTTGAATATATTGTACAAAAGAAAGAATGGAAAAATGTTCAAAGCTGCATATTATATAAACGTTTATCGAGCGACCCATGGCACCCTCGCCTAATTTCTAAACAAGTGCCACCGATTCGTCGAGGCCACTAAATCAATCTACCTGGCATCCTTGTCCTCCCTATTTTTACGATCTCCGCAAACGGCCGTGCCATTATCAGCTAAAAGTGAAAGCGCATTCCTTACTCAGCTAGAACTACAAGGAAAAATCCTTCGTCCTTTTTCCTACCACCCAGACTTTCCGAAGGGGAAGCTAAGGCTGCGATCCACAGAGCAGGTGGTTATATTTGGCAACTCATGTTGTGAACAGTCGTTCCGAAATAGTCTTTTTCTACACTCAAACTAACTTCAACTTAATTCCGTTACCACTACATTCTCCCGACTCCTCCGGCCGCGTCACTAAACCCGCAATACGACAGTTATCCATGTAGAATAAAGAAATTAATCTTTTTTAATCAATGAATTATTTTTCATTATTTTTCATTATTTTTGCGATTGATACAACACATAGATTATAATGTGATTTTATTCCAAGCCTAGATATAACTTCCAACTCACAGTAAAGTATTTTTCATTTTCCATAGAACGTCAAACAATTCCATCATTAGATCTCGTTATATTCCGTTAGGCCACGGTATAAAAAATTATTACGTAATTATTCCAATCGTGTAAATACCCATAACTGGATGTTGCTTTGCGCGATGTGAAATTTCTGTAAGAAATTTCTCTTGCGTCAAGGAACCTCTAATGCACAATCAGTGCTATTTCGTGTTATTAATTTAAAATTAGAAATCAGCGAGCGCGCAGAGGAAAGATCTAGAACACAAGTGTAAACAGTGGCATTTTGAAAATTACTTTTGCGATAAGCAGTGAATGACTGAAAACGCGTGCGTGACACATAGGACTTGCCAATAGCTCAATGTATTAGCCGCAACTTGCATAATCTCAGAGCAACAAACGCTACAATTATTGTGATTGAAAAGACCGATATGTGATTACACAAGGGCAGATAGTGCGTAATTAGTCTCAATCGATCGGACGGTCTCCAGAGGGCGAATGTACATACGTCGATGATTTTATCTGGGTTCTGAAAAAAATCTCGATGAAACTTTAGTTTCGCATCGGCTCGATCGCGCTGAGCAATAATGTGTCTGTTACATACATTGAGATTTTCCTGTTAGGCAGTTGTGCCGATGCAGGATTTATGTATCGTGATACAACTATATTTTTTATTCTAAGGATTATAAAAATCAGTCAAGTATCGCAACTGAACATTATCATTGAGACACGAATCAATGAAGTAATCGGTCATTTGAAAATGCTCTTTGATCATTTGCAATTTCTGCGAAACATAATTAGTCTTAATAAATATTTTTGGAGTTTTACGTGTGAGGTCACAAATGATCGTTTAATGTCGCATTTATTAATATGCCTTTACCTTGTCTGTACACAGTCTCGCTTTAACTCGTAAACTCGGATGGTATTCGGTTCAGCAATATAAACGAAGCATGTTTGGTATAAAAAAAGGACAAAAAATTGTATCCAATGCCATTGGTTGCGATTGGAAATAATAAATAATGGAGAGAAAAGATAAATTGAGGTTGAAAGTTGCAGCGAGGCTTACATGGAGTCTATGTGTCTAGACAAGGCATTAGCTGTTAGTCAAGAATAAACGTATTCTGCAGGAAACCATCTATAGCTGCTAAAAATTTAGTCGGCGTGTGTTTGTAAGTAGAACGTGTAGTCACCTCCGAAATCCCGTGTTTATTGTTCGTTCAGAGTAACTGAGAGAGAGACTTTCGTATTGCCACTTGCCTTGAATTCTTTCACGTGTTTAAAGAGCATTACTTTCTAATTCATTATCATCCTCTCGACCTACATCCAGGACTTTTTTTCACTTCCGAACGAAAAAAAGGAGCCATGGATAGTAAACAGAACCGCTAATTATCAAGGGTTGCGGCAGCGACTTGCGGCATGAATGCCAAAGTGTGGCATATGCAACGCTACACAGAAAATCTAGAGAAATGCATTATTTATTATATATTTTGCAAAAAAAAAGCTGCATTGAAAATAAATGGTTTTATAATTTTTAATGAATTTTGACGAAACCCGTAACTTATATTTTCATGATAAAATTGTTTTTTCAAAGGTGTTTTTCTCTCAATGACGAAGATCATAATAAACGGTTCATCTGGGAAATCTAGCTTGGTCCTGGTCTAATCTGGCATTCAAGCAATATTTTACTTTACGTTGATCGAACGATGATTGGCGTGCGGCAGAAAATCTGAATAAATTAATGAATAAATTTCATCGCCGGAAATTGAAATAAACTCAAGCGCTGCGTCAGGTCTTTTTCGTATCGAGCGTTTATCGGATCTTGCCAACGCGACGCGGGCATCTTTGCTGTTGACCTGTTTTGATGAACGAGCAATAACAGAGCGCCTATCTCGCTGCTTTAGCATTAAGGTGGAAAATTTACGTTCAGCTGGGAAGAAAAAAGAATCTCGTTGTTCGATCGATAGGTAATAAATGTATGTAGGCGGTCAAGCTTTTTTCTATCGCACGGCTGAATGTATGTAAGCGACGTTCGAAAGGAATTAAGGGCACGACCACGCGGCGACCATCAAGGTGTATCTCAAAGAAACATAAAACTCGGCGTTACATCGACGCGGCGCCGTAGATGTGCTAGAAATGAAGACGACGGGCAATCACTTTCTACATTATTACGATATTCCTCGGAGAAAAAGCTGCGCCGCGCGCGACACGTGAAACCGGACTTGGAAGTGCATTGCTCCACTTTCGAAACGGTAAAAGTTACCGATTGAAATTACGTTCCTCTTTTATCACTATTTTGATACCCGAATTCAATGCTGCACGAAGATTTCAAAAGGGCTGTGCTTTGGTTCTCCGGTGGCCCATCCGGGACGAGTCGAGCAAAAGTAAAGGCACGCTAAGAAATTCTAAAATCATATTTTTAATATTACACGATGTGAAGTCAGTACGCGCAGTGATCCTCTTGAAGAATATAAATAATAAATTTATAAATTACTTCTCGGGTGGAATCAGCAAGGCCGACATTGACGACATATCTCAAATAAATGATATTCGTTGACGTGAGATGCTTAACAGGAGAAGATTTCTACAACTCGACTAAAGTGACTTTGAATTAACGCATATAAGTTAGGGCGTCGTGCCCGAGGCCCGAAGCGAAGCCCAAAGCACCGCGTCATCCTCCGTAATGAAGGGAAGGTGTAAAGCGCAATAGCTGCGATCGAGTAAAGTCCTTTCGAACAGCAAACGCCGGGCAGGAAGGATCGCGCGGAGAGGCAGCTGGGCAATGAATAAAATAAATCAGCGAGTGGCCAGAGTAAATGTAACGCGCATCGCGAAAATAGCTAGGATTGTTTTGAGTAGTCGGCGCATCGATGGCGGGATCTGCGCGTCGAGTCCCATCGGTAAGTCCCACGGTAGATCCGAGGCGAAACGCTCGGGGCTCGGCTGGCGGCGTCGTATACAGATTTACAGGCCAGATATCTTTCTTGCTCGCGCTCACCCCGAATAGCTGGAAACTCTTATCTAGCCATCTGTTGCGGAATAACATTTTTATGTAATCTCTCTTCGTCATTTCGAGGCTGCGAGTCGTTTCTTCCAAGATCGATTTGCGTCGTGAGCGTTCCGCGAAAAAAAAAAAAAATTTACAGCACGCTTGTAAGCGCGGCCTCTGTGCCCCGAGGTGTCTGCTTGCGACTTACTTTTATAAAAGTTAGATCGAGTGTGACAAATCAGTTTTTATCTGATTTGGAACATAATTCTTAGTAATGTGTAATATTAGAAATCAGTCAATAATAGTTAGTGCTTTATAAATTTTAATCTAAATTATACACTGAGTTACACGAAAAAAGTATTACTCTAGATATTCGAATACCTTGTCATGTTTTATCTTGAAAGATTTTTTCTTTTACAAAGCGTTAACGATACGTGCAGGTATGAAAAATTTAAGGAAACTTTTGAAAAATCGTCTCGGCTTAATAGCCACCAGATTATTTTTATTAGCCAACTTGTACTCGTTAGACCGCTTGATGAGTACGGACTTTCAAGGACTCACCGTAAAAGCAAAATAGTTGAGCGTAAAAATAATTGCAAACGATGTTAGGTTAATCGACAGTTGTACGTGCACGAGAAAGGCTTTTACTGCTGAGCTAACCAGTCGTGAACTAACTGCGCGACTTTGAAGGTCTTGGAAAGCAAATCGCTTGATGGATCCTTTGTTTTTGACCAAGCGAGTTCGCTAACTTTTCAAAAGCAACGGAAGGATATGTAACGCAACGCACCAGCAGCTGAAATAATACCTGAATTAATTTTCCACGAAGAACGATATCTGTAGCCTCACGATTCTCGTATACATCGACTACTAAACATTGTAAACATATGTTCTTGGTCTTATCTGCCGCGTACAGATAAAAATCTGTATATAATGACATGACCCTTAAGACGATCAGTCAGTCACATTGCGTCGATTTCAGTGGTTTGGCAACGATGCCATCTATACAACAATCACTTCAAAAGTTACAGAATGGAGAATATTTAAACGATTATTTATTGAAAAGAGTAGGTTTTTAACCGATCATAGTTTTGATTAGAAAGCAATTATTACATTTCGTATTTAAAGACAATCAGCTACATTAGTTTTTTATTTTTTTTATTTCCGACAAAACACTTTGAAATATCTCGTTGTAATCGTGCGGTAAATATTTATGCAGCACAAAAACTTGCAGCGAAGGGATTTAATCCATTGAAAGTTCGATTGAAAGAAAAAGGAGACTACGATAACTGCTTACTTTTTTTTTTCGCACAATCAATTACACATTACGCAGTACTGTCTTTTGTTAATCAGTCACCTAATATTGTCATCAGTTGTCGATTACGTATCTTTTCCTGGCCAACGGCCATACGCAGAGGAAGTGTGTTGCGCCGCCTCTGCAACTAAAGCCAGCGCTTCAATGTCCAAGTCGCACTGAAATGATAAATGATAAAAGGGACGATTGGTTGATTGTTACAGACCTGCACGAACGTCTCGTTCCAAGCTCATCACGTATCGCGAGTGAAGCGCGGTCGCACATTGGGCTCGGTGCGCGGCTTTCGCGGCTGTACGGTGTGGCTGACAGGACTGTCGGGTGCCGGCAAAACTTCGATCGCCTTCCAAGTGGAAGCGTTTCTGGTCGATTTGGGTATCGCGGCCTACGGCCTCGACGGCGACAACGTGCGCACGGGATTGAACAACAATTTGGGCTTCACGCCGGCCGACCGCAAGGAGAACATCCGCAGGGTCGCCGAAGTCGCCAAGCTGTTCGCCGACAGCGGACAGATCTGCCTGTGCAGCTTCGTCTCGCCGTTCGAAGAGGATCGCCGGATGGCACGAGAGATTCACAAGGAATTCGATTTGCCCTTCTACGAGGTCTTCGTCGACACGCCGCTCAACGTCTGCGAGGCCAGGGACGTCAAAGGTTAGCGAGCTTGATATTTTTTTTACAGCGCGTGCGTGTACGTGTGCCTCATTGTCGATTGCTCGTACTATTCCTTTATTTACCTTCGATTATTATTGCCGGTCTTCGAAACCAAGTCCGTGCGGAGTAGTCCTTGACTACAATACTACAATACGACTTGTCAGTTTGGTTATTGTTACTTCAACAATTACCTTCGTTTTGAACGCTACAGGACTACGCTAAATTTCTGTACAAACATTAAAATAGACAAATTTGTTCGGCCTAATTTTTTATACTTATAAAGTATTAATTGTTCGGTTATCTGCTTAACAATAAATTGCGATTATTTATCTTAGCAGAAGTTGTCACAAATGACGTGCAAAAAGTGATGATAAAGTTCAATGCCATATTGATTATATGCTGGAATCCATTGTTATCTTATCAGTTCTCTTAAGATCAATTACTTCCAATAAACGTCTTTTGAAGGAAAAGCTTGTAATATTTATCGCGAAAGCAAACCATTACTAATTCCGTAATGTACGAAAACATAGAATAGACAAGAAAAAAAAACTTTCCATTCGCCAGGTTTGTACAAGAAAGCAAGGCAGGGTGCAATAAAAGGTTTCACGGGTATCGACCAGATGTACGAGCGTCCATCGAATCCGGATCTCATAGTAACAACGGAAAATTGTTCGCTCGAAGATTCAGCCTTCACAGTAATCAAGTTTTTACAAGGGCAGCATGTAATACCCGAAACGCCACAGCCGAACACACCACTGCGCGAACTATTCGTCCCAACGTCCCGCGTACAAGCAGCCAAAGCCGAAGCTAATACATTGCACAGCATCGAGATCAACGAGGTGGACGTGCAATGGTTGCAAGTGCTCGCCGAGGGTTGGGCTGCACCACTCACTGGCTTCATGCGAGAAGACCAGTACCTTCAGGTATCTATCTATTTTTTCCTTGATCGTCATTGACTCGCGACTGGTACAGCTTGTGAGTCGCTTGCATTTTACTTTAGCTGTCTAATAAAATGCTGCTACGTGCTGACAATTCAAACCGAAGACTGCATAATTTATAAGAACGCCCATATCAAATGATTCGCTAATTTCATTTATTCATTTCTATTATGGAAAATGTTATCTTTATTGACTGAATACTACGTTGCATAAGTAAATCTGACAATTTTCCATATTCTTTTATCTGATAATCATTAGCAGATCGATAAAAAAAGAACCCTTCACTTCATTGCAAATTAATAACAAGATCCACTTACTTATCCTCTCTCGCTAATCGAGGATCATCGTCGACTTTATCTCAGAGACTTTGCATTCGCGAGTATAACGAAGTTTCCTTACACTCCATCGGTATTTTCCCGTTCAACTCAATTTCAGATAGAAGATAAAGTTTGTTATCGGCGAAACAGTATGGTCTTTAAGCATTAGTACGCATTATATTTGACAAGCGTTCTACCAGTGCTAATTCCAGGATGCATCGTTAATGAATCATTAATTGCAATTTCCTCGAGCAAAATTATTCACATAGACGTAGGTAAATAATCGAAAAAATACAACAACTGGCCTGATTGCATTTAGGTACAACACTTGAAGTGCCTGATACACGACGGTAAGGAGGTGAATCAATCCATCCCTATAGTACTGGCGGTGAAGGACGCGGACAAAAAGCTCTTGGAAGGCTCATCAGCGGTATGCTTGAAGTACGAAGACACAGCAGTGGCCATCGTGAGACGACCAGAATTCTACTATCACCGCAAAGAGGAACGTTGCGGATGGCAATTCGGTACTTGTAATCCTGGACATCCAGTGGTGAAGATGATCCTGGAATCGGGTGAATGGCTAATGGGTGGTGATATCGAAGTATTCGAGCGTATTCGCTGGAACGATGGACTAGACGAATATAGACTGACACCCAATGAAATACGAGAGAAATGTCGGAGAATGAATGCCGATGCTGTTTTCGCCTTTCAATTGAGAAATCCAATTCATAATGGGCATGCACTTCTCATGCAGGTAGGGGTTTGAGAGATGAGCTCAACTGTTATATGGTTAGTAAGTAACGATGACGATCGATGTTGGCTTATTTTATAGGATACGAAAAGACGTTTATTAGAAGAAAGAGGATTTAAGAATCCAGTATTACTTCTACATCCATTAGGTGGATGGACAAAGGACGACGATGTGCCTCTGAAGATTCGTATCGCTCAGCACAAAGCTGTACTTGACGAGGGTATCTTGGATTCCAAATCGACTTTGCTAGCTATATTCCCTAGTCCAATGATGTACGCGGGCCCGGTCGAGGTAAGTTCAGATCGGACACACATTATTATCATTTTACAATCGATGTATTCTTGATTTTATTCGTATTTGATTATTTATTTGATAATGATAATTCAGATTACTAAAACTGTTTATTTGAATTGCAGGTGCAATGGCATGCTAAGGCAAGAATGAATGCCGGGGCCAACTTCTATATAGTGGGAAGAGATCCAGCGGGAATCCCACATCCTGATAAAAGTCGAACACCAGATGGTAATTTGTACGATCCTACACACGGTGCTCGTGTACTTTCAATTGCAAGAGGCTTGCAAAGTTTAGAAATTATTCCGTTCATCGTTGCTGCTTACGACACCATCAACAAAAAGATGGCTTTCTTCGATCCTAGTCGAAAGCAAGACTTTGACTTCATTTCAGGAACTAGAATGAGAAGTAAGCATTCCAATTCATTTCATTCAATGTTATTTTTTCTTCCCGCTAAAGAGTTTTTCTCTTTTAGATTTAGCGAAATCGGGAGACTTACCACCACAAGGATTTATGGCACCCAAAGCTTGGGACGTACTTGCAAATTATTATCGGGGATTGAGCTCTAAATGAGTGATTACCGTGAAACAGAAAGAGACAGAGTGAGTGAGAGAGAGAGAGAGAGACAGAGAGAGACAGAGACAGAGAGACAGACAGACAGACAGACAGACAGAGAAAGAGAAAGAGAAAGAGAAAGAGAAAGAGAGAGAAAGGGGAAAAAGTATTGTAGTTCTAAGACGCCCGATAAATTTTTATATCAATTTTTAAAGATGACAAGTATATTTAGCTAGGAGCAAAATCGTTTTCGATTGCAATTGTACATATATAATCTTTTACATGCAAATTTATGTACAATGGGTCCTAGCATAATGTTATTTTGCATTCCACTGAGGCGACGATTTCTTAATAATTTGTTATATTACACTAAGGCAAAATAGCAATGATTGTATAAATTGCGAACTATATTGAAACTGTTCCTCACAATTCATCAATCACGATGATTAGAAACTATTATATGAACTATTGAAAATGAATTTAACGAAAGAGATGTTTTCTTCAAATGTAGGTTTATAAAAAATTCTATGTGTTGCTGCAATAATTTATAAATGTTTACAGATTTTAGAGAATTAATTTATTGTCTTTAACAAAATGTTTAATGCTTTGAAACTTTATTGTAATATTTTAATATTTATACGTAATGTCATAATTTTATCAAATTGTATATATCATACGATTAATTTTCTGATGTAAATTTAATGTTTATAAAATGTACAAAGTATGATGTTTTATATTATTTTTCATCTCCTATGTTTTGCCAATTTACGTGCAAACGTAGTTTATTCAAGCGTTATTAGAATGAAAATAATTCATTCACAGTATCATTAATCAAGTTTTTTTTTATTCTATTTAAAAACAGGATTGTTTTAATTGATATTTCAAATTCAATTGAAAATGAAACCTTACTAATAAAATAATAATTCAATGTCAAAGAATAATGAAATTGAAAATAATTACAGAATATATTAATTTTATGAATATACAGTAGAAAATTGATTAGTTTTACCAGCAAAACAACGTCCAAAAAATTACACAGATGACAAAAAATAATTTACATAGTTTATACATTACTTTTTATAAAAATTTCAAACAATATCTTCATTTAAAAAATTGCGATTAAATTAAGAACGATTAAATATAGGTGAGTAAGGCAATATGTATTATCATAACTACCTATTAATTAACTATGATTTCTATGATTTTGTACATAAAATTTTATAACTTTCATCACCACACTAACACTAACACAAGTGTAGATTTCGATATTTTCTTACTGAATAGTGTACGTGATAATTCGCGCAATGTTCCTTTCTAATCAATCAAAACTAATCTTTAAAAAAGTCTAGTTTCAATTAATTCATATAATAGGGTCAGTTGCTAAACTGACTTCAGAGTTTTGGTCGTCTGGATCTAACGTGAGATAGACTTGTATCAATCCAGTTTGTCCATTGGCATCTTTCGCCGGAATATATAGATGATGCCCATTTATATCACCAGCGGTCAGCATATCGCCAGTTAATACCGCATGCTCAACATTATCCGACGTAACTTCTTCAGTGTATTCACCCTCCATTCCAATCACTACTTTGGATACGCCATCCGATTCAGTGACATAAATCTGAAAAATATGATTGAAATACAATACATAAATAATATAGATACTAATAAATGAATGACAATTACTTGTTCATAAGGTCCTCCTGATTCTTCGTTCACTATATCATCTTCGAATTTAATCAATTGCGACGCAGCTAAAGCGTCTTCATTAGTCTCCGTATAGTCAGAAGTGGTGTTTTGAGACTCGTCAAGCCCAAGCGATTCATCTGCATTAACTGCTTCAGTGCCTATAGGATCTTGTTCGACGACCATCAAACCGCTTCGTTTTTTGATGACTTTTGTAGAAGTATTTCTGCCAGTAACGATCCTTTTGAAACCAGTCCCACCAAGGACTTCGTGTCTCCTCTCGTGTTTATTTTTATCGCCTAAATACTTGAATCTTTGCTTGCACACACTGCATTGGTAAGGCCTTTCATTCGTATGAGTTCTCTCGTGGCAGACCAGAGCACTGACTTGTTTACACCTCCAGTTACAGTATTTACACTGCAAAGGTCTCTCGTTGCTGTGCCTGTTCTGCTTGTGTTTGATCAATTGGACTTTGGTTTTCAACATAAAACCACAGATATCGCAAGTATGTGGTCTTTCGTCTGAATGAGAAATCATATGAGTTTTCAGCCTTAATTGATTGACGAATCTCTTGGTACAGTGAGGACACTCCAGAGTACCATCGAGGCGACCGTGTATAGTCATCATGTGATGTTTCCATCGTACTTCTGACATGAACATTTCCTCGCAGTCCAAACATTTCATGGGTTCTTTTTCCGTATGAGTGTTCTTTATGTGCGTTCTCAAAATCATCTCGGTCTTAAAATTTTTACCACAATGCGTGCAAGTAACTCGCTTCGTTTCAACGTCAACGGTGGACGCATCTTTAGGTAAACCTGGTACCACTTCGTTGTGTATGTGCGCCATGTGCCATTCCAGCGATCGAGTAGATATCATAGACCTGTTGCATATATGACAGGTGTAATTTCTACCGTCTTTGTGCTCTCGATTTCTGTGGATTACGAGCATCGAATGACTTGGAAACTTTTGGTTGCAAACTTGGCAAACGCATTCTTTCAATCCTTTACTGTCGGGTTTCTCGTGAACTTTCAAGTGCAGTCTCAAGCCATCTCGTCTGTTGAAACCGACGCCGCACATATCACATTTATACTGTCGTTGATCTTCGTGAATTCTCAAATGCTGCTTCAATGTCGATGTATTTTTGAACATTTTGTCGCAGTGATCACACTTTATAGTATAAGCTTTGTGCGTGTGCATGTGCTTTGACATACCATACACCGGTACCAATTTTTTGCAGATGTGACATTCTTTTTTATTGTCCACAGGCGCGTGTTTTCTAATTCTGTGATGTCTCAAACTTGCTGGGTTTTTAAAGTTACATCCACAGTCTTCACATAAAAAAGGCCGATTATTTGTGTGAACAGATTTCAAATGAAATGTCAGTTTAGTCCTAAAAGCAAATTTTTTTGTACATTGTGGACATTTGAAGACTTTTTCAAGGTTCATGTGCCGAGATTTAACATGCTGATCTAATGTCCCTTGATGTTTGAACCTTTCACCACATAAGTCACAAAGCTGGCCATATTGATCATCGCAGTGTTTTTGTTCATGCTGTCTCTTTTTTCCTTTAGATTCTAAAATCATATCGCAATATTTGCACATCAGTTTCTGAACACAGGTTATATTGTGAGAACGTTTCGCTTTATGAGTGATAAATTCTTGGCCACAATCTTCACAGTAATGCATCAATCTAAAATCATGTTCTTTTGCATGTTCAAATTCTTCTTCTAAGGAGAGAAAAGTTTCATTACAAAAATCACATTCATAACTTTCCACAACTTCAAAGGGATCTACATAATCGACAAGTTCTTCTTCTGGCTCTTCTGCAGGTGCTTTTTCCAAAATAACATTATTTTTATGCTCATATAAAGATATAATGTCTGCATCCTGTAAACGAGAAACAACAATTTTACGTAGTTTCAAATAAGCCTTAAAATCTTCAATGTCTTCATCTTTTTGCTTCAAAACTGCCTTTAATCTCTCTGTGTGATCTTCAGCAAGATCTTTATTTATAGTCTCATACCTTTGTTTAATATCTTTCCATCTTTGTTTCAATTTATCTGAAGCTAAGATCTGTTCGGAATCATCAGTAGACACTTCATTAACCAATATAGTTTCCTCGTTATCTGATCTTATTATTGTCACTACCTTTTCACTCTTTTTTATTTCTTCTTCAGGATTAAAATTTGTTTTATTTTCTGTAGGACTGTCTCCACAGGCTGCTCTTATTATTTCCAAATTTTTTTCTTCGGGTGTTTTATCTATTGCATTATCTCCTAAAATTTGACTTCTCCTTTTTTTATATTCTTCTATTTGCTTATCAATATCCTTACCTTTATTTCTTTCATTTTCAAATTTTTTTAACAATTCAGCAACTGCCTCTGATTTTTTCTTAACTGATACTTTTTCTAGTTTTTTATCAGAAGTTTTTATTACTTTTTTTACTTTTATCAAAAGCATTTCATTGGGTTTTGATCCTTTTGCAGTAACGTACATTACACCATCATCTGCTTTTTTTATATTTGTTGTGTCTTCAAGATCAAGTTTTGGGATTTTTAATTCTTTTACAATGTCAATATTGACTTTTGATTTATTTTTCTTATTAGAATTATCATAACCTTCATTACTTTTTTTATCAGAATTATCAACACTTTCATTACTTACACCTGGAGATAATTTTCTTTTTAATATTTTAGATTTGACAGGTGACTGAGACAGAGTTTCTTTCCTTATGATTACACTTGGTTTATTAATATTTTTGTCAATTTTATCAATATTAGTATTTTGCTTCTCAGTAAACTGACTTTCATTGTCACTGCTTATTTTAATATAGGCATTCAATGTTTTATCAAACTTGTAAGCTAATATTTTGTCAGTATCAGACACTGCATCTGTGGAAGTTTCTAAATCTAGACTTTTATCAATTGTTTCATTATGATCCTCTGCATCATCAGGATCAAACTCTTCAAATGATTCATTTCCATCATTGGATTCATTTAGATAAGTACAGTCATACTCTTCTGGCTCACTTTTAACATCGAAGTTACCAATAGCGTTTGCTGCTGAATTGTCAAGCAAACATTCTTTTTTGATCTCGTTAAAAGCTGGCAGTGCTTCAATAGCTAATTGAGATTTCAACGTATCATTGAGTGATTGTGAGATTGTTTTCAATTTCAATTCAGCTTTTTTGATCTGCATAAAAAACTTATAACTCATCTTTAAGTCACAAATGCAATCCATGCACATTTGAGTCGATAAACTATCATCCTTATCGATATTTTCTAGGTGTTGCATTTGTTGTTCCAATCTCATTTGAACTCCTTTTTCACTAAAAATATCAACTAGTGGAACTTTTAAGCCAGCACAAGTACGACAATACTCAAGCAACTTTTGTTTGATTTCCTTTGATACTGCTGGAGTTTTATTAGTAACTGATGAAGACACTATTGATGGAAATTTGAGGCGAGGTGTAGCTTTCTTAAGATCATTCAAGTTTGTGATTTTGAATCCGACATACTTCTCTTTTCCTCCTTGTGACACTTTAGAATACATGATATTACTAGAACTCTGATTATCCCCCATGTTTGTACTCTTTTATATTTATAAGTTGGTAATAATTTATGTTACTGAATCTTTTCAGTAGAGAACTACCTCAGCTTCCAAGTTTGCTCGATTTGAAATAGATACAATTTTTGAACCTGAAAAAAACACAGGTTTGAGAGAATAGATATTTATTGCTATTTCATTATGGAAAACGAATTTTTAAATTGGTTTAAAATAATCAAACCTTGTATTTATAATTAAAACATTTGCATTCAATTCATACAATCACTAAATATACATACATTTCTCTTTTACTACTTTAATAATATGAATAGCAAAACAATTTTTTAATGATTTAAAAGCCATATAAACTAATTGTTATAAATATTCTAATTTTGCTAAAACATTAACATTCATGATTTAGGACAAAATTAAAAAAACAGAATTTATTCATTTTTGCAATGAATATCAGAAAAGAATAAAATTACTAAAGAAATATTCCAACAGTCACAGAAATTTCCAACTGATTAATTGTGAAATTCAAACATCGAGAAAATCCGTGATAGTAGTGCACTAAAGATGATGATATTTACCTCCATAATAATTTCTTCGTTGTGGTGCTGTCCAGATGGCGCGTATCCCCCCTCGGAACAACGAAGTTTTGTTACTTCGTGGTATTTCGTCTTTCTACAAAGCTCGACACTCTCATGACTATTTTTCCGATGGTTCTAGCACTATTCCTTGCCCACCTGAGTGAATTTCGGATAGGCGTCTGCACTAATACTTTTTTTTCAAACCTTTTCAAGGCAATGCCTAGCGAAAGCTAAAAGGATGTCTGCGTGATGAGACATTCGCTTACGGTGACTGTTCTGTGAAATTGAAAATGGCCGAAGCCTTCATCACACTGACCTACTCGTATTAATTGTACACTTTTTACACATTTTTAACTGCATGTCAAGGCTTTCTATAAACCATATCTCAAATTCGTTAATTTTAATGAAAAAATGTCTTTTGCAACATTCAAATTTATTAAAGAACAATTAATATAAATAAATGAGGTAAAATTCGTTTCGTAGTACGATAATTCACGCACAGATAGCGCTGTTTCTACAACTCACATTTGATTGGGTGTTAGGTCGCATAATTTCACCAATGAAACATTTTCAGTAGTGACGTCATTAGGCAATATGGCGCATTACTTGGGAACAAAATTTGAATTTTGACTTTAGTTTGAATTTAATAATAAAAATATGAGACGGAATAATTTCCTTGCGAAATTGATTTCTATAATTTCTTCGTATCATAAGCTATTAAAACCCAACTAGTTTTATACATAGAAAGCTTTGTATAAAAAATCTATTTATTTACTAATAATAACAAATATATTATATACCGTACAAGCAACTAAGATATAACCAAATAAATCGGTGGTTATTCATTATTTTAAAAATAATGAGTGAGTGAAAAAATCAGTGTTTGTAAGAATATTATGCATTAAAATAAAAATAATTCTAAAAGTATTTTTCATAAGCAGTAAATCAATTGTTATTAAAATAATAATATAATTATATTACGCGCTTAAACCCCCAAAGATTAACTAAAGTTAAGTAATAATTGCAAAAATTTCTATGCATAAAACTAGCTTTGATAGCTTATAAAATGAAAAAATTTCGGAAAATAATTTTGCAAGGGAAATATTCCGTTTCATATTTTTATCCCTAAATCCAAACTAAATTTAAAATTCAAATTTTATCCACAAGTATGCGCCATATATTGCATGCAATGACATCACAACTGAAAATGCTCTGTCTTACCGATTAAACAGAAAATGAATGTTTTTATATAATTATTATTATTTTTTGTGATGTAATATCTATAAAAATGTTTTACCAATTTTCCAAGAAGCTTTTCAGAAATGCGAAGAAATTACTGATTACAAAAGGTGAATGAATATCATACCGTTCAATTTTTACATGTTAGTTTTACAGTTTGTTATAAATAACAACTTTTGCAAATAATGTGGTTTAAATGAACATCTCACAAATTTAAACAATTTGCTTATCAATACTTAATTAATCAAATAAGATAAAAAGATACAAAATCATTGTAAATAAATACGCCATCACGCGGTATAAACTAGAAATACTAAATGTCAAAATATTTGTAACTGTTGGAATAGCCTAAAATCCCAATATAATATAACGGCTTCATAGATCCAAACTAGCAGACTACTATTTTTATTTACATGAACAGTCAACACTTCATGAATCATTGTTGATCAACGTTTCTTTCTCAAGTTCCACTTAATGTTATTTCAGTTTAATTATGTTAATTGTGTATTAAAAGTGTACAAACAATTGTGTATAAAATATGTCTGATTTTGCAATGATAGGCAACACCTGCGGGCAAAATTTGCTCCGATTAGTTGCCAGAGGAAATGCTGTTATAGCAGAATTAATGAGACTGAAAGATTACATTCCTCCAGTTTACAGGTTACTTTTTCTTATCAATATTGTTTTTATAAATCGAAATTTATAACTGTTTCTACAACCATATAATTGATGTTAAATTTTAGACTGGATACAAAACATTATGTGCAAAAGTATGGAGTAATAATAGTAGATTTTGCATATTTCAAAGCAGCAAATGCTCATGAACAGAAAATTGAAAATGATGCTGTAAATAAAACTTAGAATTCTTACAGAAACTAATTTTACTAACCAATTTGTTAATAAAAATGATGTACTTTTTTTCAGACTCTTCAAGACTTGGATGAGGAGCTCAGAAATCATTTTTCTGAAATACTTTTGAGATTTTATTTAGCATTTGAAAGTGTACACAAATATATAACTGATCTCAACAGTTATATAGATGAATTAGAAGATGGAGCCTACATTCAACAATCAATTGAATCTGTGATTCTAAATGACGAAGGAAAACAATTAATAGTAGGTTTTATAATAACAAATTAACATTTGTAAATAAAAATCATTAATTTAAAGCATTTTTTCATGAACATTCTAGTGTGAAGCTATTTATTTGTATGGGATCATGCTGCTTATTGTTGACTGTTATTTTGAAGGAAGAATAAGAGAACGTTTAATAGTATCATATTATCGGTATAATGCTCAAAGAGCATCCTCTACCAGAGTAGATGATGTTTGTATGTTATTGCGTTCCACTGGGTTTGTTAAAGGATCTTATAAGAGACCTCAAAATTATCCTGAATCATATTTTCAGTTAGTACAATTTTGAAAATAAACTACCACCTAAAAATTGCAATTATTAATTACTAATTTATATAAATATATTGTACAGGAGAGTACCTATTAATGAAACACTTTTAGATCATGCAATAGCTCGATTACGTACAGATGAAGTATATAATCAGACCAGTGCATTTCCGCATCCAGATCATAGAAGTATAGCATTGGCAAATCAAGCATCTATGCTGGTTGTTATTTTGTCTTTCAAACCATCTGTTTTAAGTACACAGTCTTCTGTAATGAGAGAAGTTGTAGATAGATTTTTCCCCGATACTTGGGTTATAAGTGTATACATGGGAATTGTCATTGATTTATGGGATTGGTGGAATCCTTATAAAGCTGCCAAAACTGCTCTTAATAATACTTTAGAAACAGCTAACATTAAAAGAGTTGCATTGAAATATGGTCAGAAAATGGAGGTATGCATACAATTGTCTACATAATATCAAACTACTTTTTTCTGTAACATAATATTCTTTTGGCAGAAATATCTCAAAAAAATTGAAGAAGCTCAGGTAGCATTATCATTGGATGAAGGTGCAATAGGATCTGTTGTAAAACTTATTAGAGAATGTAATGTAACATTACACTGGCTACTTTTACATACTACCATTCCTACCATACTCACTGAAGACTCAAAACGTTCAAGAAGCTTCAAACAATTAGTAATTCAAGAAAGTAAATATTCTGTGAATGATACATTAAAATTATTGCTGAGTACTGCTCAGATTGAATATAATATCAAGCAAATGTACAAACAGGTATATTAAAATGAATCAAACAATTATTGAAGATCAAATTTTTGCAATCAATTTTTATAATTACTTAGTTACTGCAAGACAAGGAAGCTAAATGGAACAAAAATAAACAGAAATGCATTGAGCGAGTTGATAAATTATCTGAAGTTTTCAATGGAAACAAACAACTAGATGATATTGAAAAAAATCAATCTCTTGAAACGTGGTTTAAAGAAATAAGCCGACATATCGAAACATTAGTCGAAGACGATAGTAAAAAGATTATGCAGCTATTGCAAGCTTTAGAAGAGGTACAGGGTTAGTGTTTCAAAAAATGATTGATTTTTAATTGCATTCAATAACAAATTATTTATAATAATTGGTTAATAATTAAAAATAATTAAAAACTTGGTTTTAGAATTCCATCAATTAGAAAATAATTTACAAATATCGCAACACTTAAAAGAAACGCGTCAAATTTTGCACAATATGCTAAGATCAAGTTCCATGAACGAAGATACAATGATTACATTAAATATTATCACGGATTGCTGTTACGCTTGGAATATTATGGAAACTTTCATTCCAATAATGCAAGATTTGATAAAAAACGATCCTACAACTGTTATACAGCTAAAAGCTCTATTTTTGAAGGTAAAAATATATTCAAAACTGATTAGGATTTATATAATAGTAATGATAAACTAATATTTTATCGCATAGATGGCATCTGCACTTGAAATGCCTTTGCTTAGAATTAATCAAGCTAAAAGCGCAGATTTAGCCTCTGTTTCTCAGTATTACAGTAGAGAATTAGAGAGCTATGCTAGACGTGTACTTCAAATAATTCCAGAGTCTGTTTTTGCAATTCTTGCTAAAATTGTTCATCTTGAAACGAACGTATTTCTTGAAATACCAACAAAATTACATAAAGATAAAATCAAAGATTATGCACAGCTGGAAGAAAGATTGAAGGTGATTGAATGATGATCTTTTATGCTTGAAAACTAAGAGAATTACTCATGATTTTATTTCAATTTTTAGATGGCAGAATTAACTTACTCTGTTTCCGTATTTACAAATGGCATGCTTGCTCTGAGGAGCGTTTCTTTGGGAGTTTTACGAGTCGATTCTCAAAGGCTATTGGAAGATGGTATTAGGCAAGAGCTTGTAAAGAAAGTTACTTTGGCTTTACACAACAGCTTAATTTTTGATGTAAAAACAAAGGTTAACAATCGTTTTTTAACGAAACCTTAAATAAAACGTTCGTTTACTACTGCAACATTCCTATAAACCGTTTATTTCAGGGAGCATTGTTAACTAAATTAGAAGCTTTATCAACAGTCATGGATGGATATCGAAAATCATTCCAATACATTCAAGATTACATAAATATCAACGGTTTGAAAGTGTGGCATGAGGAAGTAAGTCTATGAAGCCTTTTATTTAATAATTGACTTATACATATAATTAATATTTTATCTTCTCAGATCACTTATATAATAAATAATGCAGTCGAAGAAGAGTGTCGCGGATCTTCATGGACACCAGGAAAAACGTGGACATATTTACCAGAAGATAAAATAAATTTGCATTTAGTCCCTAGAGACTCAAATTCTTTGACATTTATGGGCAGACTTGCCAGAGAACTAATCCGAATAACCGATCCAAAGTAAGCATATCATGCTAAATAAGTTTGAGATTTGTTTTTGTTCAAAATAATTATAATTCAATTATATTTAGAATAACTATCTACATAGAGCACGTACTTGCTTGGTTCGATTTGAAAACGCAAAGCCAAGTTTTGAGCCATAAAACGCTTCAAATGATATTGCAAGCGATGGGAACTCCAGGACTGGCTGGTTTAGATAAAATGCTGTCTCATTTTATCGTTCAGGACATGCAAAAACTTTTCAAATTCATCGGAAAAGGACTAAGAAATAAAACGTGGTCGGGGTCATTGAAAGAATGTGAAGAAATGTTTCAAAACGGTGATAGCTTGAAAGGTATCTAGTAACATCTTTTGTTTTATTTTGTTGTGGATGACTAATTTTCTTTTTTTAGCCAACAGAGGCAAGTTTTTCACTAGCGTAACTACACTAGTTAATAAATCTTGGTCACCATTGTTAGAGTTGGTATTAAAAATAGGACACCTACAACTCCTTAAACATAAGATAGCATATGAACTCAATACCGCATGCAAGTTTGAAGCAAAGCATATGGAAGCTGCTCTTCAAACTTTAAACGAGTCAGTATAATTAAATCAACCGTAGAATTTATTTTTGTTTGGCTTTTGATACAATCAAATTTATTATCTTTTGAATTTCAGCGCTATTCTTTGCGAAATAAAAGGTAAAGAAGAGGAATTACTAAACTCGCAATTCTTGAAAGATCTTAGTATCAGATTAGAGTGGGCAGGCATTACTGATGTGATTAATCAGCTTTACGTACAGCCCACGAATATAACCAATCTGTCATTTTTGTTATTTCTTTTGACTCTGCCACAAATACATAAATTATACTTTGATAAACATACAGGTGACATAAATACGTATTAATTAGATTCATATTCTTAAGGCTGCAACACGCTACTAACTTATTTCATTTTTTTTCCAGCAAGTCTTTTGAGTAAAAAGTTGCAAGATTCTATCGATGCGTATATCTTTGCTTTGGGTATCCAATCAGTATTAAAACAATCTGGTATAACACAATTGTATGACTACATTACTCACGTTAGCGAATACATTTTATCGTTTGTAATGTCCGACAGGTAATAAGTTCAAGTTACATATTCATTAACGTATCCTGAAACACTATCAAATTATTTGTTGCAGTTCGAAGCAAACAAATGAATTCGAAACAGAAATAATAACTGGAGTGCATTTTCTAGATCTTTTTACAAAACTAGCGGGAGTTCCAAATACTGCAATCACGAACACTATTCCTGTTGTTGTATTGGATCATTACGAAGCTAAAGTTGTAAAATAAGAACATAAAACATATTTATAAGTATATTGCGAATGAGGGAATCGTTATATATAATATTTGTTACGTATTTTATATGAAAAAAATCAAGTAATAAAAACTACAATAATTTTAAATTTTTGTAGGGTCCATTCATTTATTATATATTAATTTTATTACACTATCTATTTATATTATATATTCCGATTACTCGCTTCTCGAATAAGATCGCGTAGCTCATATTGCAACGTTCCGCAGATATTTTTTCTGCGTGTTCTTCATTTATGAAGACTGTGTCGAAAATACACATTTCGTATTGATGAGCTGTAAAACTATGATGCTCTTTGCAGGAATAAAAATAAGATGACAAAAAGTTGACATGTCGTAAAAGCAAAGTCATTGAAATGTACGTATATATTACATAAAGTATAGGGCTTCCAGAGCCTATTCGAGTAGCGATAAAGTGTGAAATTCATCATTCCGATCAGCGATTGGTAATGTTTTTTTATACTGGCTTTTTTTACTTCCACAAACAGTCGGAGGGCCTATACACAATCAACATAAAATATGATTCATATTCCTCGCGTTTTTCTCCGCAGTTTATTACCTTTATAATAATAATGATAATAATAATAATAATTATTATTATTAGTTATTATTATTATCGTCGACATAAAATTCGCAGTTCGAAAGAGGGTGAAATGAGAGGGAGGAGGGGAACGAGAAGTAACATTCAACGCAAGAGTTGCCTCGATTATTAACAAACGATATGATGATACTCGATGACAGACCAGCTGTGTAAGTCGAGTCTCATTACAATAGTTTGCTTACATCCTAAGTTATACATTTTCCTTTTTATTTGTTTGTGTTTTGTTTGCGTTCCTTTGTGTGAAATGGCGCTTTATATTCTTAATCTCCCTTTATGCATTCTTGCACAACGAAAAAATCATCTCACTATAGAATGAGGAATGAAGGACTTGAAGGGAGCGTACAATCCTTCAGTCGCTCAATCTTTCGCAAGTGTTCTCACTTCTCTGGTGAAATATATTTTTTTTATGTATCAGAGTATATAAGTTTCATTGTGGTCCATACAATCATTCAAGTAAACGATGACTATGTTCGATCGATTTACAAAGCTTTGCATAATTTGCAAGCTAATGTTTTAATAAAGATATCGGCTTCTTTTCTCTTCTACAAGTCTGGATAAATTTGGAAATATACGTTGTGTTATTTGTTTACAATGTTATACAAATTTTTATATTTCATTCCGAATCGATCAGTCATTTCAAGCGTATTTGAGATGCAAGTTGTTGAATTAAACGTTGTTTCATTTTTTCCACTACTATGTAGTCGCATTCTGTAAAGAAAGTGATTTCTTGGTGCGAAAGCTTCGTTGAAACTAAACCTTCTTGGACGAATCTTTTGTGACTTTACATTCACATTTTGCCGAGTTTTTGCACGCGGTACAATCGAATGAAGATTGATTCACTCGCTATTCACATTTTGTAAAATCAATTGTCAACACTGTAAATAGCTCAACGATTTGCCATATTTTTGTTTTTCCTTTTTTGGGAGCCTTAATTGTCTCTATTTTAATTAACTGAATAAACGTACGATATGTGAATATAACAACACATCTTTTATAAGATTTGTTAATTTAATTTTTTTACCTAAGTTATGTCTGAACATTAATACATAGTCTGTGCCAATAAAGTATCCGTACGAAATCATTTTTCGAAAAATGATCTTGACCAGTTGGCTGACTGTTAATTGTTAATTAGGTTGAACATCTTTGAAGATCAAAATTTTTTGTTAATTAAGCGTATAAGTTGAACCGAGTATCTCGGCTCGGGTACCTATGGATTTCTTTTTGTCGGAAATTCCTTAGAATAAAAAATTATATATAAATCATAAATCATAAATCATATATACATATACATTCATATGTATGAGAAGTGATTATATATTTCGGATATAAGCTTTTTTCGTAAATCATTTACAAATACCGTATAAGGTATATACTTATACAGAAATGTATGACACTTATTAAAACGCATGAAATGTTTATACACTCATGTATGTACGAGTTCACGTACAAATTAGCAAATACAACATTGATTTTACATTAATGTATAGTTTATATATAATTTTCATTCTGAGGTAAAGAGTTTTCTTTTGAAGTAATTAAAAACTACCTTGTGCACCAGAAGTTTCTTCCGAAAAGATGATTAATTAATTATATGCGCTTTGAACAGTCGTTTAAACAACACATTTGTTTTTTAATACTTTTATTTTAACTGTAATAAGTCTGACTTCAAGACGCCAATACTCGATTAGTGTAAAATTTGGAATTCTTGGAATTACGTACGCTTACTTTTATGGTCTTATTATTTTGTAAAAATGTCAAGGTGCATGATAACAACTTACTTTTACATCTTTTTTAATGAAAATAAAAATAGAAATTAGCATAAGCTCACATATAACTTCAAAATACTGTACGTTTGGATTAATTGTTGACAAATCCATCACTGCCATCTCACATTGCATATATTACATGCGATTTCATTAAAAAGAAATCCGATCGAATATTGTTATTTTTGTTATTTACAAAATGTGACTGGAAACTGAAAAAACTTATTTGTGCCATACCTTTAATGTAATTAATTATGTCATAGAACATTCTTTTTTATGCCGAATTCAAGAAAATAAGAAATTATGACAAAAATATTCGCACATACAAAAATGTTAAGTATTTGAAAGAATGGTCTCTGATATCATCAGTGCAATCGTTAAATTTTTTTTGCGTTTTTTACAGGCTATTATTTTATATAGAATTTCAAGATATTGGTCGGCGGACTTTGAAAAATAATCAATAGAGGTTTATATTATACCTTGAAAAGTATTTTTAAACAGATAAAGATGGTTAGATCAGTGCGAGAGTTGATTTTATGAAAACGTCCACTCTTTGAATTAGTTATATTGTTTATTGTGAAGATTGAGTATATGGATGGAGGTTCTGTTTGAAAAGAGTTGGTAAACTTGGTAGGCTGTATGGAAACGCTGTTTCGAAGAGGACAAAAATCTCACGAACATCCGCAGAATCCGATATATACCACATTTTTGTGTATTGCTCTCACACTTATATTTGTAACGAATCTGTTTTTCTTGTTATATATAATATTTAACGGATCTTATAGATAAACATACAATATACACTCTTTCAGGGTTTTCGCAAAATGTTCGCCACTTTTTTATGTTTATTTTATTTTTTTCACCATATCCAGACATCTATGTTTTTTACACGAACAGTTATTTCTTTCTTTTTTTTCGTAATCATTGTAATTGCGATTGAATATTCCTGATACCTTACTGTGTGTTCTCGCACCTTGTTACATGAAATTCGGAAGTGGTCAAGGCTTTGTTAAAGATGTACAAGACTATATTTGTGAAGTATCGCCAATAGGTCGAAGTATTTTTTTCAATTTTAGTTTGCATCTCAAACATCAAAATAATCGTAAAGGTACATTATTTTTCAAAAGGTATATATTTAATTTTTTTCTTTTTTATTTTCATTTCGAATTGAAGCACCTTTATACTATAAAAAAATGACTAGGATTTTTCATATCTTTTTTGCATGTTTGTGCGATTATTGACTTACTGTTACGTTAATGATCATATTTTCTCTTGAATGCAACGGACTTTGAATAATACAAATCGACCTTTTTCCATTTTTCAAAAAAAATCAATAAAGATATTAGGATTAACAACTTTTTTTATATACTTTACTATTGTAATTCGCTTATGAAATCTTTTTATTTTAGAAGTATATAGCAAGTTTGCGAGATTTTTAATCTGAAGACAATCAAAGTAAAACTGGATAAAGAAAACATTTCAGCTTTCAAAAAATCAGTTTGTGTGTGATGAACACTTGATCCGCTGTCTTATGAAAGTAAGATTGAAATTCCTTATTACTCTCATTTGGTTCACTTTATTAATTAAGTGATTGAAAATCTTCCAATTTATATATCTGTTGTATGAAAGTAGTTTTTGGCAGAATGTTTCCTTGGAAATTTTTTTTTTAAATATCTTAGAATAAATATTTTTTTGAGGAAGTTTAAAATTAAGTTAAAATAATTAATACGTATGAATAAGTACATTTTCAACAACAAAAAAATAACTGATAAAATACATTTGCACCAAAAACAAGTACTTTGTAAAAACACGCGCAATTTTTCAACACATTTGTATTTTATCATTATCTACACTAAGGGAAAAAATCATAATTATTTTCTGTCTTAAAATCTTGGTCGGCAGTATTATAGAATATTCTTAGTGTTGTTCAATTTGATTATCTCAATTGGATAAGTTCTCATTTCATAATATCAAACATAATAATACTCTATATTCATTCGTTTACCTAGATTGATCGACTAGAAAATCTTATGATTTTTTATAGCTATATATTAACTATATGATCTGAAAGAAAGCAACATAAATAAATCCGCGAAGCTTAAAAGAACAAAATTACGCATAAATAATAACTTTTTTTATAGTTCGAGGACACATTAGAAATGCTTATTAAATCCTTTGCTTTGACCAATATAACGGAAATGATTGTCCTACAATTCCCTTTACATCCTCGCCCGCGACGAAGAAATCAATCTGAAGACATTCTATCATTTTTTAAATATTCTTTTGCCTAAGCGTCGCGCAATCATGTAACATGCTTTTCGATAAACGATTATATGTCATTATAAATTGTCGACATGTATTTCTAATATTACTTTATGTTAACGGCTGTTCGGTAAGGTGTTGATATTTAAAATTGAACTTCCATTTTTAAAAGTTCTGGCAAGTGTTGTATCCGAGATAAATTTAAGTAACGAACGAAGTTAACATGCAACTGCTTTCACATACATGGAAACGTGTTATCACTCAACATACACAGCATAGAAATGCGCGCACACTTTTGTTTTTATATAAATCTTTAAAAACATCAAACTCACAGTTGGGTTTGACAAATAACAAATCACGCTTCCGTTATCTTATAATTTTTCCCCGCAATTAACTAAAAATTTATATATATATATGCCTCGTTCATAAGTTTTCTGCTATTGCAAGGAATATAAATAACATAGAAACTTAAGATGTTACGTTTTCTTTGCTATCTTTCAAGCAAACGATAACACGTTTATGACATACTTATATTAAGAAATAATCTTACACTTTAACTTTTACCACACTTAACCACACGTAATAAGCATAAATGTTCATATTATTGTTTTTACATTCTCTTCATTTGATAATACGATTTCACGCTAAGCACTTCATTCATTTTTTAGGTAAATTCAAGCGAAAAGTCGTCTTAGTTTTTTTATTCTTAATTTGCGATACCCGGGAGATTCATATGAAAGTATTGAGCAAACAAGGATAACAAAGTACTTGTTAAAGAATTTCTTTTTCTTTTGTCGCGAACAAGACTCAAATAATCACTGGTTTCCAACAAATATTAACATGTTTTGTACATTTTTACCGCCTTTACATGCAAAATAAGCAATAATTCAACAGGAGAAACAAGTTATAAGTAATTTTTTCGAGTTGATCTGTTATTTTTTGTCATCATTAACCCATCATAATGTCAAATAGGAATGTTGATGATATTTCTTTCTTCAAATAAAATCAAATGCTAATCAAGGTGCTCATCTAGTTGTTAGTGACAATCTCCAGTTTATCGAGGAGGCCTTAATTACGTGGACTTTTTATTTTCCTTAGACATTTACACTAATTTTGACAATGAGTATACTGTACATCCCAGTGATATTTAAGAGTAGACGATATTGAAAAACAGGACAAAGGCAATTATGCGGAAAGGAAAAGATTTTAGTTACTGCTAACGACTAGCTGAGATTTTTCTTACGTTTCGAGACATTGTAAAGGGCATCGCTGTTATATTGTTCATATAATGACAAAGTAACGATACGATGAATAGAAATGAGAGAAGCGATGTAGAACGTATGAGATACATGTAACAGATAGAATAGGAAATCGAAGGTAGAAGACACGATGAAGCAGGCAACTGATATGTTCAGTGCTATATCACTGGTTTTGGCCCTGCCATGAACTCAATTGTTTTGGTTTTGTCACATAAACCATGGCAATTTATTTTTTCTTTTCAGAAATCTTACTTTCGATAACAAGTGTTCCTTGGGGCTCTTCTACTACGGAAAAATCAAAGTTCTGTCAGCGGCTCGCTAGATGCGTCTCTTCTTGGAACAGTTTAGCACCGATTTCAATCAAAATTATAATTGCTCTACTACGGTTTTTCAACCTATTGGACTCCTATTTGTCTTTGTCTTTGTCTTTGTCTTTGTCTTTGTCTTTGTCTTTGTCTTTGTCTCTCTCTCTTTCTCTCTCTCTCTCTCTCTCTCTCTCTCTCTCTCTCTCTCTCTCTCTCTCTCTCTCTCGCTCTCGCTCTCTCTCTCTCTCTCTCTTCTGTTTTCTCTTTTTCTTTCCTTCTCTATCTTGGTTTCGATTTAAAAATGACAAAAATTCAATTGCAACAACAAAGGCTTTACAATAAGTCAATAATGACGATGGCACTAACAACTTAATTAAAAAATCAAACTTAGATATCCGTGATGCGAAGCTTCGATCTTACAAAAACTGTAATACTTTCCAATCTAATACAGTCTTTACAGATATTCTCATGGCGTGTCGTACATATTAAGGACTGTGTGTTGTTTTTGTCTGCGTTATTATTATTCTTTTTTTTTGTTTTGCTTTTTTTGTTATGTTAGTTTTCTTGGATATTCATTAATAGTAGGTGTAAATGCTGCAGCTACTAATGATAGAATCATACAATGTCTAGTGGACAGTCATAAGATCTTCGCCTTAAAAAGACTCTTAAAGTACGTGGATGAAGATTCACAAACGGATAGTTTAGAGTTTGTGCCTCGCTGTGGGATCTGATATTTGTTGTTATGTGTTGTTCTCTCATACAGCGATTTTTACGGATTACATCGCGCGCATCGATTCATCGGATGTCGGATATCTCGGTTTTGCTGCCAAATATTTTGATTAATTGATCTTCGTAATCATCTATGTTACGCTTCATCAGCTCCATGCAAGGGCCTAGCAAACGCTCAAATGCTTCAACGTCCAAGACTAAAATGTATTCATTTAACAATAAGCAACATCACTGCAATAATAATTATCGAGCAGGAATTCAAAAGTACACAACTTACAGGCTAAATTCACAGAGCCTACGGCGTATGCAGAAGCTGCTCGAGGTTTGTGAGTGACAAGCGCAAGTTCACCCAAGTAACCACCAGCCGGTATACGATTTACCTAAATTTAACGATTTTACAATAATTAAGGAGACAAATGAAAAACTATTACTGAAAGAATAAGTTTCCAAGGCTCACCTCGACTTCCTTGCCATTATCACCAACAATCGTAATTCTAACGACACCCTGTTCGACAAAATACATTCCATCTGCTATATCACCCTGTTTGATAATTTGCTGGCCGTCCGAGAAGTGCTTCGGAATAAGAGCGTCGGCAAGATTCATCCGCTCGTAGGGCTGTAACAATAAAAATAGAAGGTTACGACGGTTGTTGAAAGAGTTCACGCACATATTGAGCCTTTTGCAAGCGGCTATAAAATATGAAACAAAAGCCACGAAGACTGTAACATTCATCTGCCACCGCAATAACGACCTCAATTTTTTTCATTAATCGAACATAATTGTTGTATGTACCTCGAGGGATTTGAGCATGGGAACTTTGTTGATGAGATCCTCGTACATCTTGCGCTTCTTGTAGGCGGACTTGAGAAGAATGCGTCGGAAAGTCTGTCTGTCCATGGCCCACAGGGTGCCTGGTGAGATAGCTTTGACCGTGGCAGCTCGAGGCATGTTATACAAAAGAGCCAATTCGCCGAATGCCCCGCTGTTATCGTACGTATGAATCAACGTGTCTTTTACGTGTACCTCGAATCTGCCTCTGTAAAAGCCATTCGACATTATTTTCGTCCAAGTTAAAAAATGCACGATACGAGTGAGAGGATGGGCGTCACATACTTTTCGATGACGTAGAAATTGTCGCCATCGTCACCTTGCCGGATAATGAATTCTCCACTTTGAACAGTCTTCTCAAACATCGCATCTAGCACACCTGCCATTTGTTCCTGCGAAGACCCAATAATTTGCATGATCTGTGTGCGTCGGGAACAGAGCGCGTGGATTGCCAACAGCAGTCGCGCGTCTTCGCGGCAATTAGTTATTATGCTGCTCGACAAGAGCTTACGTACCTTATCTAAAGAGCGGAAGAGGAGAATGTTTCTGACGCTCTCGCCGAGCCGTTGTCGCTGTTCGTCGCTCTTTGGATGGACGCTCTGCAACAAAGAGCGAACTCATATCGCAAAACAATATCATCCGCGTAGGTGGAGCAAGCGAATTTTTTCGCTCGCGCGTGGGCAAACTTTTGCGCATCGCATCGCAATCCGATGGCTGTGGCGCGATCGCGAGCAAAGCGTCTACTTTATATTTTTTTTTTCCTCGACAATTTCATCAAATTATTTCAGCCTGGCCGACGCACAGCCGGAGCTCCGCTGCGCGCGGTAGCTGGGAAAATCAATTTCTGCGCAAAACCGTTTGACACACAAAATGACATTTAGGGCCATTCTATAACCTAGTTTCGCACGGAGAAACTTGCATCCATCTCCGAACAGGAGAAAGATGAAAAATCGATTAATGTCCCAAGCGTGGCTGAATAAAAACTCGCTGTGGCCGAAAAAAAAGGAAGCCGCTACTGCCACGTGCGTGTGCTCTGTACGAGTCTTCCAAAACATTTTACGCGCGTCAATGGAAAAACAAACGGAGAACAAGTAGTCGTCGTCGACGAGGTCACAATACAAACAAAAAAAAAAGAAGCCGGGAGCGTTATCTCGGCCCGTGTATCGCTGCTCTGACAGAAGCAAAAGCCGAGCCGTTTCATAATGCAGGTACAGTTCCGTGATAGATACATACACAAATTTTTTTTCGCTCCGCCGTAATGTAGTGCGTGCGACTCTTGCTATCTCTCTCCCTGTTTCGCTCGGTTTACGAGTATCTCGTTTTCTCTCTTCTCTTGTTGTCCTCGTCTATATATAACGCATTACTGGAATATATTTCATGTACACGGCAAAGCAGCACCGACGGGTTATTGTACAGCACGTGGCTGCTACGTCACAAAGGTGAATTACACGCGTCGCCGGGCAAAGCGAAGAGAGAGAAGAAAACCTCGGGGCGAAAATTTTCTCTCCCCGTTTTTTTCCCTCTTTTTTTCATTATCACAAATACACACCCACACACACACACACACACACACACACACACACGTATGTACGCGGCGACCCTCAGCGTATGTGTATGTGCAAGCTCTATATATCGATCAGCCGGTGAATCGAGAAAGAGAGAGAGAGAGAGAGAGAGAGAGAGAGAGAGAGAGAGAGAGAGAGAGAGAGAGAGAGAGAGAGAGAGAGAGAGAGAGAGAGAGAGAGAGAGAGAGAGAGAGAGAGAGAGAACCAAGCACAAGCAAAGAGAGTTGGGTAAACATGGCGCCGAAATTATCGAGCGTATCGTCTACGCGCAGAGACGAGAGATGCTCTGTGTGTACTTGCTTCTTGACGTACACGTAGGTAAACCGTCCGCACCACGTACGTCAGGACTACGGAGAAGAAGCGTGGATTGATTTTCAGTCCGACGTTGGCGATTTTTTTTTCTCCGCCGAGGAGTCAGGGAGCGTGCACCGTGAAATTTAATAAACAACGCGCGCGCGGATGATTTACAGTTTAATAAAACTCGCGCGCGTTACAGTCACATCGTAAATTTGAGATTCCGTCAAGGCTGTTGAAGCCGAACAGGCCGTCATGATATTTTCGTTATTTTTTCCCTCCGCCGACAAACGAAAAGAAATGCTGAAATTCTCAAAGAGAAAAAGCGAAACGTTGTCTTTAAAGAAAAAAAAAAAAAAAAAGGCCAGAGGGAACACATCGATTCCCGTTCGCTGCGTTTTTGTCTCACCGCCAGGGCAGCCTTAAAGTAGCTTTTTCAGCCGGCAATCAAAGAGAAGTGCACGCAGTTCGACGGAAAGGGATACCATTGATGCCAGCGAACGACTTATTTCAGCTTTCTTTTCAATGATACCAGAGCGCTCGATCAAATTAAAAGTATTTTCCGATTGCTTTCCGCTTAATGCCGCATTACGAGCAAGCTGACATCGCAGCTTTTGCAAAGCACAATAGCTCTGAGATGGCTCCCGAGAGGTTCTCTCTTTCTTTGCCCGCTTGCATTACCATTCGCGATATGGTCAGAAATCATTTCCGTTCGTTAAGGAGCCGCGGCCCCTGTTCGCCCTGATTTTTGTAGCGCGTCAATAATTTAAAGAGAGAGAGAGAGAGAGAGAGAGAGAGAGAGAGAGAGAGAGAGAGAGAGAGAGAGAGAGAGAGAGAGAGAGAGAGAGAGAGAGAGAGAGAGAGACGAAGCCTCGTCCGCCTGCCTGCTTGCTCCTCTCTCTGCGATTTCATGAAAAAAAAAAGAACATGTGTTCGACGATGACAGCGTCATTTCTATATTCTTACGAGCGTTATTTATAGACAAAAAGCGCGAGCCGTTTCTTAACGCCGATTATAGCAGCAAAGAGAGATAATAATGCTAAAAGTTGAGCGGTAAAGAGAGCTTCACCCACGGTATCGTCGATACGTGTGTGGGTTACATAAAACTCCGCAAGTGCATCCGAGTGTTCAGTTATCGGATCTTGATTAAACAGCGCGCCCTTTTTATTTATTATTTTCTTTTAATAAAATAAAAATAAAGAGACGAGCAGGCCTCTGAGGCGCGCACGGCACGTTCGATACTTCGCGCAAGATCGAGCTCCTCATCGTCAAAGCGGCTCGCGCGAGCAAAATAAAATCCTTCGCGTTTATCGAAGGGCGCTTTTGCCGCCGGCTCTATCGTCGCTCCGCTCCGTTTCGAGTAACGAGCGCCGGACAGTCAAAGATCACTCCTATTATTCGGCTCCCGAGGTTTTGTAATGTCGAGAGCCGCGATTGGTTACGCCGACCACGCCGAGGACCCCGTGACTTTCTCTCTATTGTTCGACCTCGGGAGCAAAGGAAAGGTATTTGTTTCCCTTGGCTTGTTATTCCATCTGATACTCGAAATCCTTTCGCGCGCGAGAGAGAGAAAGAGATATTATTTCTCCGCCACCGCGCACATTTTCTTTTCACTCTCTTTTTTCTTTTTATATTTAAAAATAAACTCTTAAATAAGCAGCGAGATAAGAAATTGCCTCGCCACGCAGAAATTTTATATTTGTGTTTCTCGTTAATTTGCAGTGGGCAAGTGGGCAGGGAGGGAGATTTCTACCCGGCAGTTGTGTGCGTCATTCCCCGACCACTTTCTTTTTTTTCTGTCTTTAAACGTTATGGAGATTCAAGCAAAAAAGAAAAATTAATTACGTCCCTTTCTCAAGATCATTTCACAATCGCGTGATTCGATTAGCGCGCGCGAGAGAGATTACTGACTGTAAAATCGATTTTGGAATTTTTAAGACTCAACTGTAGAATGCAATAGCCAAAGAAAGTGAAACGTGTGCGGTATTTCATATGCGAAATTACACCTCGTATCATTTCTCGCGTAGCGAGCGTCATGTGTCATTAGAACGACTGGGAAAAAAAAGAACAACGTCGATAAAGAGCGTATATAAGGCACTGTAAATACCTTAACACCATCCTCCTCCTCGTCGTCTTCGGGATTGTATGTTTCCGCGAAGACGCTCTTCCTCCTGGAGGCGAACTTGGCGACCGGTGGTTCTACAACACATCACAAATCTCCTTTAGTTTCACCGCAGATCTATAGAGTTCCATTTGTATAATTTTTTTCACACTCCATAGACATCTAAACTATAATACGGCATCTCATCGAATCTGCTATTTTATTATAGATATCCAAGAAGGGAATCGATGTATTATACAAATTAAGTGCTACTTCAAAAACCTCTTAACATTTGCTTTTTCAATACCATCGGAGAATAAATAAATATAAAGAATCGTATAAAAATGAAGACGAATTGCGACGATAATGTGAAAACAATTTATGTATATCCTCAACATTCGTAAAATTGACATATCTCCCTTCGTATAGGTAAGTACGTATACGAGCTAACGTTAATCGAAAACATCGAAATGTATACGTGTATATAGGATAGGAGAGGGAGGGACAGGAGTGGGACAGTCAATATTAAGAGATACGTAAGGATCGATCGCTTTTCAATTCAACATATGCATTCGTGGATTTTTTACGGGACACTGATTCCAGGCGATTCTTTTTGTTCTTGTTTATTCGAAAACACAAGTGTCTGATACACAATGGATTTGAAGTGTACACAGGATTTGATGTTTCTTCGTTAAACTTCTACTTTTAGAACTGTTACATTAAACAAGTTGTGGAACCGATAAATATTGCTTTATTAATAAAACTGTAACAAACTTTATCGATAAAATATACGATCAGGAATGTAATAACCAATGTTTCATAAAAGCTCTGCAATATATATTTTAATCGAAAAGAATTATTCGACTGACTGCGATTATTAATAAAAATAAAACGAAAACAATATATATGAAGCTCGTCAATTAAAATCTGTTAATGCAATCAAACAAGAGAGCAATAACTCTCTCACCATTCTTTCTCGTCACGAGATGAGATCACGAGTAACAGAAAAAGGTCATTTCTTTTTTTTTTTGGTCGACTAAAGAATCATGCGTTCGCTATTTAAGGCCATCAAACTCTTGCATCCGAGATAGATTGCCATCACCGAATGCAGTCCATTACTTGGAATGTCTGTGTGTGCGTGCGCGCGCGTGTGTGTGTGTGTACATGTGATGGACAACAAGTTAATTGCGCGTAACTAGTTCCAATTTGGTAATCCGATCACGAATTGATCATTATCATAATGCTAGTCTAAAGGGAATATGTGTACGACTGTTTGGAAATTGTGTTTCAGGCAAGGACAGACATACACACACGTGACTATTCAACAAACAAGAACGAAATAAAAATCAGTGATGCGAATGTCGTTATAGGAAAATTGTTTTGCAACGCTCGCTCGCGCTCGTTACGTGCGCATTGTCAAGTGACTTGGAGGGTCTGTATTTTTACTATTTTCAAATTCAAACGGTGTAAGTGCGCACGCGCATATGTATGCGTATGTATGTGTCGGTATACAACAACTCTCATATTTCAATCCAAAGAAGGAACAGCATTCCGGGATTAATAATTGATTGTTAATACCTTGATTGAACATCATGACATAGTAATCAACTGTTTTTTCAACTGCAAAATTAAATACCAAAAAAATGATCACTATTATGCTGCTTTTTTTGGAGGGGATATAGTTCTACTGATATTACCGTTACAATTAAAATTTTAATAAAGTAAATAATTGAAAATGTTTTACCTATCTATTGGCTTACCTTCAAACAACATTTGTTACTATTTTTTTATTGGAAGGTAATAACTATTAATGCAATATTAGTTTGTTTGACTGTCTTTAAATCGCACTTGCTAAAACCTATGAATATAAATTTTATATTTATGTTTACTATTCTCAGAAGACAATATGAAAGACATTTAGAGTTTCAAGAGGATTATTAAATTATCATTCATTATTGTTATTTAATTGTTACACATGAATGAATAAGTGGGAATGCTCCAGCTACTTAGAAAAAAAAATTAGCAAACAAAAATTTATCATTACACTCAGAACATAATAAAAGTATAACTCATACAGTTAAGTGATTGAACATTACCTTCATCAACAGATTCATCAGGTGTGGAAGTACACGTTTGTCCTGACTGAATTAGTTGGTTCTGTCGATTCTCTCTGAGTCTAGTGAAGAATTCCAGAGCGTAATCAATAATATCTCCAGGCTGTTGAAGAAGATAGCTAATTGTGAACTCCAGAAGAATTTCCCTTAGATCATCTGGTACTGTAATTCTATTGGAATTGCGTTGACAACTCATCTTTGCCGTAACCAATTGTCCCTCACTGCACACAGAACAACACTTTATTAGACCTTTTACACCAAAACACTTTACTATATCGCAGTCTTGTTAACAACTACGGCAAATATCTCAGCTGCTACTGCATTGAGACTCTTGTGCGATCATAAAAAGGAAACATTTGCTTCTCAAAGATTAAAAGCTACACTGAGATATCTACCATAAGGGACACAAGACTCTGAAGTGCAATGTTACACACTCTCACAATGCTTCAATAAACTCATGGCTATGCAATAAAAGTCTATTAAGAAATAGAGAGAAACTGCAAAAAAAATACATGGACTGAGCAAAAAAAGCTTGTGAAAAATAAAGAAACCGCATGTGTAAAAATAGCAATGAGCACAGGATCCTGAACAACAAAAAGAAAGGAAGGAAGCCAGCACCAGCACCAGCACCAGCACCAGCGTAACAAATTAAAAAGCCATTATGGCTCACTTTGCTCTCACAACACTATAAAGCATCGAACTCGCTCATAATTGTATTCTCTGTATGTTACAAGCCTATGGAGGACCGAGGACGGTGACAGCTCAGAGCGAACTGCGGCTCGACCGTGCCAAGAGTCCAGTAGCGAAGCTCTGGCCGAGCGTATTAATTGAATCTATCGCATGTGAGAGAACGTGCACACACTTCCTTACACAGGGAGGGCTCTGCTGCTGCTGCTGGCTCTCAGCAGCCTCTACTCGATCGCACGCGCCCGTTTTTTATCTCTTCTTCCTTCGCTTAAATACACAACGCACAGGCGAAGCACACACGCACGGACGATCAAAAGACCGCTCCAACTAAGTGTCCAGCTGCTGATGATACATGAGTTTATATCTCCCAGCTGAGTGTGTACAAGGCAAAGATTTTCTTTAAATTTGCCCGACCTCCAACTCGAAGATGGCGACTATTTGGCACACATAGCACTCACACACACACACACTTACACAAGAGGCGCGAGAGGCTCCCTCTTCGTTATCAAGTCCCAATTCTGTCGCTCGCTTCTCGCTCAGCGCATGTGTATGAGTGCGGCCAAGTGAATCGCCAGCAACTCAATACGCACTTTGATAAGGCTAGACGAGGACGACAAAGAGAGAAGAGAGTAAAGAAGGAGGACCGGTCAGAGAGACGGTAAAAAACCGTACAATATGTTACTTCGTGCTTTAGCTTTGGACTTCTATTACTATCCCTCTCCGCCCCTTCGCACGTGCGCTGTCACGTCGGCTGATTACTCATATTGTATACATATACTAACTGCTTCTCGTGAAAATTTTCGAGTGGCTCGAAGGCCTCGAAGCAAGTTTCACCGCGTGCACTTTGCCAAGTTTTGGAGTTATAACTTTTCCATGTATCGATCGGTAGGTGAAGGTCACACTTCAAATTTTTATGAATTTTTTTAATCGATTTGATTGGCATCTCAGTTGAGGCTAAAAGCTTTTATTCGCAGAGAGATGTGTTTGTTATTTAATGTTAGTATTAAACTCTTAAAATTGCATTTTTCTTTTTTATAACTCCATCCCTCACGAATGATTCACGGTTCAATAACCTTCAAGAACGTTGGTTGAAATGTTCATTCGTTAAAACCTGTTATATCATTTTATTACTTGCACTATATTTAGAGAATCTTTTCCAGTTCAGTGTTGCGGCTTTTTTTCCAAGATCAAAAGCAGAAGGAATTCCGCACGTTCAAAGACTATTATAAAATGACATGAATGCGAATTTAATATTGAATAAAAATTTGAAAAAGCATTATGGATTAAGTATCGTGATTCTATCCAAAATTCAAGAAATCCGAAACGTAGAAAACAAATTTACTTTTCATCGCTGTTATTAAAATAATTTTAGCTGATAGAAACAACTGAGAATCTAACTAAAACCAATTCAATACAATGTTTTTTTAATATAAAAATTATATGATTGAACATCTCACAACATAACAACGTTAACATTGAATGCTGTGAAGATACTTTCAAATGGTAATACGAAAAATTTGGTGCAATTATTGTGGATATCGTTATCGATCATTGCTGATCATCGTTAATTTAAGGGAAAAAATTATTATTTCCAAAACGTGTTGCAGATACTTAAGTGAGGTGGCCTGACCGTCATCAGGTCATCAGACAGAGAATCGTGTTCTAATTTCCCGTCCTTTGAAGTAAGCCTTATGCGTAAGTTTGCAATGAACTTAAATTGATTCCCAAGAACTGCTTAGCGTTACTCATATGAATCTGTGAAACGTACACTCGTAGTAGAACACACAGTTATAGAAATAGCTACAGTCTTGTTTTTTCACAGCCTCTTGACGGTCACTAGACACAATAGTGTGCAACACATGTTTGCGTGTGCGGAGGGCAATGATTTGAAAGAAAAAAGGAAAAACAGATGTGCACGATTGACACAGAAAAAAAAAACAAAAGAATCGCTCAGTAAAAATAACGTTTGTCTCCATAGATCGCGGACAACGATACCAGCTAAAACTTAGAGACAAATATTGAATACGTCTCTGATTTTCTCTCTTTATTCGCGAGGTGGCTACTTAACATAAGAAATGAATTTTTTTTTTTTTTCGGAAGGGTAAAGAAGGCGAAGGTACAACGCACCTTCCGGTCCTTGCCTGCGCCGGGATATCCAAGGGACCCTGGACGTTGAAAGATGTGCGCGTCACGGTGATCCTGGTGATGAGAGCACTCACACAGTCAAACAACAACAATAACAATCAAAAAATCCAATGAAGCAGAAAATAATTTATCGGTGGCACGCGCGCGCGCGTGCACAATTCACACTGACGCACCACCGATATCCTAACTCGGACAACGGCAACAAATGGCTTTAGCAATACTGGTTACGAGGCGCGCGGGCGCTGCTGTCGTAATTCGCGGCCTGTATTGAGGTTAGAATAATTCGTGCTTATTGATTTTTCGCTTTTAATTTTATGCCGTTCCATTCTACTTATGTCCTCTCATTATTTATTGTCTCGATCAATTTTCGACAGCAATACACACGACATTTTCACTATTCAATGCAATTAATTTTTTTGTGTTACAGACTCCTTCGTTATCGATTCGGAAAGATTTTTTGGCAAGTTTTTTAGCGGGAAACTCGAATGCGGCACGGTTGATTTCTCAATTAATAAACAGCATTATGTAATCTTGTTGATATTTATTATCAGATATTTACATTGTGAATCATTTTGACGCTTAAGGTTGAATTTGAATTTTTTTTCTTTGGACAAATATTGGCGCGTAACTGCCGATAATTAATATATGATCGTGTGACAATCGATAGAATTTATAAATAACGCTATATATTGCTCTTTGAAATGATTCGTAAATGTAGATCGTAATCAATGTTTACTCGTTAAAAGTATTTAAGAAAATATATTTACCCTAGCAATTCTTTTTGTTTTTATCAACAAATATACGAAAATGGTAATATTTTATCAAGTTCTAAGCTTTTACTCGGGAATACGATAAAGATAAAAGCAAATAATAGCCACGTGAAGAAAAATAGAAAAAAAAGAAAGTCAAAGGTTGCCGAGCAACCCTAGGTAAGGTGCCAAGGTCACAGAGCGCGCTTTCAAACCTTTGGTTTTATTAGATACTCGTTGAGGACGACAATACAAGGCTTTTCAATTTTCGGCTGTGATAACTCGTGACGTAATGTAAGTAGCACTCTCACGAGCAAATAGAAAATCGATTCTGTTTTTAATAGCCTATAAGTACTCGCCATTTATTATTATTTTTTTTTTTAGATATTTTTATTGTTCAATAAATCTTTATTATTGTCATTGTTATTTTAATTATCAGTATTATTGCAGTTTCTGCGAATCAATACTGACAATACAGTCGTCTGTCTGCTGCTTACTAGAAAATTAGTTTTACATTCTGTTATTTATCTTGGAAGGCAAATTAATTTTTATTCCTTGAAAAACTCTCAAAGATGCGTACATGTTGAAGTTGTGAATATGCATTGGAAATTTTCAATTTCTTTTTTGCAGTTGCAGGAAAATGTTAAATTAGAAACAGTTATTGTTTTGCAAGAGTGATACAACATATATACCGCTACACGTAGACTTTTTTTCGATTTCCTACTCGCGATTGATTACTCGTACACTCGATTAATCTCAATCTTCTAGCTAATCGCTTGGGAACAGAATTTTTCTCGAAAGGAATATACAAAAAAACCTTAATCCTCCAGTAGAAGATTAACGTGAACATGACTGGATGGAATTTAATTTATTTTTCTTTTGTCAAGCTATGTAAGTAGTTTATTCTTATAATTAATCATTGAATTAATTATTCTATTTCTCAATGTAACTAGTTTGATAAATGAAATAGGTATCATAGGTGCAAGTATGAAATGTTACTTTTAATATCTAATGAGAGGAATCACAGGCTAAGAAGATACTTTTCGCAGCTTTAAAAATATAATATATTTCTGCTTTGTAAAGCGTTTTTAGGAATAGTTTGAAGTAGCAAAATTATAGTTTTTACGTTTCTGTAAGTCGGAAACAGCGCAATTATAAGTTGTCGTTGATGATTGTCCTTATATAAAAGCACACAAACATATAGTAACAACTTGCAGCGCAAAAACAAGAAAGTGTATAATTAAAAATTACCATTGCATATGAACGTCGTGTATGATGTTTAGCCAGATCCGATGAGCTAAAATCTATCGGCTGACAATTGATCAAATTGTTCTTATAAAACCTAAAGCTGCATGTAGAAAGGTATAAAGGACACTGTACTACTATCGCAAATATTATTTAATCGTTGGATTTTAAGTACGAACTTTTCACTTTGGTGACAATTGCATCTCCTTGCTGAATGTGATCCAGGTAATGGATAGATAATCAGAATGACTCAATGGTATGTAGAACTCTCAGTGAGTGCACCTAGCTTGGGTCACACCAGACCCATCGTATATTCAATCGCACTTTAACCCGTTCGACCAATTTTCCATTTCAACTATCACTAACCGTCCGATAATTATTAGACCGGCCGATGTTCGAGCCCACGTGTCCACAATCTCGACTGTCACAAGTATTATTAACCCGTGACTATCTCTGCTGTATACAGCTATAAGCGTAATCTGTTCTATCCTGATATAAATGCCTTTTTTATTAGTTTAGAATGATAACATTTAACAACGCTATAAAGAATCTACTTTTATTTACATGAAAATAAGTATTGGTTTAGAAAAGTTTAATGAAGCTGGATAAATAAATATTATTAAATTCACGTATTCTTAGCAATTTTTTTTGGATATATTTTTTAAACAATTTGAGTTACAATTGAGTTATCTGTTGTGACTGCAGATTGCGCGTACATACATACAAGAAATCGATCGTTTTCCAAGATTTTAGAAATAAAATTTAATAAATGATCGTTATTCTGACCGAAATATAAAATCTGTTATTTTGGTAACACCGAAAATGTGGAAAATCCAGAAATGAAAATGCATGCAGACTATTTTCCAGGAGTGAAAAGGAAGCTTTTGAACTGTTCAAAGCTTCAAAATATTTTTTTTTTCTTTAGTGAATGCAAAAATATTGATATTTTTATCTTGTAACAGATGTATATTTGGTTTTAAACTTCAAGATAGTGCAAATAAATTACAATATACTGCTATCACGGTGTCCGCTGGCTGTCGTTTACATAAAAGCCAAGAATTGTGCATTATCAAAAAATATTAATGTTCGTTCAAAATGATCAATCTGTAACAAACAATAAAAAAGTAAAGCACCACGGAGAATACCCTTCAATCAAAAAAATTAAATTAAAAAAAAGTAGTGATTTATAACATAAATAGGTATTTTCAGAATAATCGGAAGTTCGTTATAAAAATTCTAAAAAAATATCTCTTCAATTCGATTTTATCAAAATAAATATTAAAATTAATTCAATGTAACCATCGATATTAAATGAACAAACTTTAAATGAATCGAAACAAACTGTGATATCTCCGTTAGAATTATCTATAAACAAGAAATAATTGCTATGCATTTTTAACATTAACGAATAAATAGCATTTTTCACTGTTACAAATAAAGTAAAACGAAAATTCCTGCTTCAATCAATCAAGATGCTACGCATCTTTCAAGAGCACGTGCATGAATGGGGCTGAATCACATTCCTGATAACGTGAAGGAGAATATGAAATAGACGTTCTAAAGAAATTTTTCAGTCCACTTAAATTTTTTTAAATTAAATAATTCCAGATAATTTTGAATTAGCGGATACGTATTTCTTCTTGTATCATAATCTAGCTCATAAATGAATTTTCACTGGCGACATTCGGTTGAAAAGATTTTTACATTTTTTTTAGCTACATAAGATATCTGTTTTATAACATATTTATTTGTAAATCCCCTATCTTTAAGTAAGTTCATGCGATGCAGTGTAACTAGTAAACTAAATTCTGCTTCCATAAAATTACCATTATCTTCGAAAAAACTTGTAAAGTCATATTCTGCAGGTAATATACCTATCAATGTTGTTTTTCTGCACGTATTAAGAATTGACGTGACTATATCAATCTTTTTATATTTTCAATCATCTATTGCCATTAAATTATTTAAAAACATTTTCATATCATTTGTAAACAATTTGTAAAAAATAAATGTATAAATGTATAAATGAAATGTAAATAATTCTTGCCTTCTGCTTCGTCATTTGAGTCCTGGACGTATTTGCATGTTTCTTATCACTTCGATAGGTTCCTTTTAACTAGGTATCGAACTTTAGATTCCAAAATCTTTTACATATTTTTATTTATTTATCTTTTTTTCTTGACTGCACCATTTCTACAAAAATTATATGGAACTACAAAGAAAAAATTACTTCGTCGATTTCTTTTTCATGGTAAATACACAATAATGTCATGATACATACAATACACAATTATATCAAAGGCCTCCAACATGTAACCCTGTTCGTAAACTATCTTTTCGACACTCCATGCGGAAAGTGCGTTATTCCCGCACGCTCGGTAAAAAACGTGCATTGAAAATCGCCCTTTCCACACGTCATATAAAAAAATACGGTACGGTACATGTTCGGGAAAGAGTTTCTCGTCTCGTTTACTTTTCCACCCTCGCTTCGCTCGGGCGTAAGTGCCACACGAGATCTCGCACGAGATGAGAATCTATTTTCCCGCACTTGTATCGTAATGTGCTATAATAGTAATTTCAAATGGCTTTCTACATTATTGAAGTATTAGGAAGCATTTTTTATACATCTTTCAAAATCGAATTTGAACTAGAGAAAGATGCTTACCGATAGCGATAATGTTGCCACTGGAAAAATTGCTCTGCTGGGTCTCTAGAAAATAGCCCTTCAAATTTAAAGATATTCAATTGCGTCAATTGCTCCATCAGTGCCGTACCTATCTTTTTACATGTTAAAAGTTTATTCAATTAGTTTATTTATATTTATTATTAAAAAACACGTAGGTATTGAATTAAAAATTCTCAGCCGTAATTTGTCAAGAACTAAGCAGTCGCTGGATGTTGATTACATCTGATTTTAACCTGGAAATAATATGATCATTATCATTATTATTTTTTAAAATGCATACTTTGTGATTATCTACTTTTGTATAATGCTAAGTAATTGTGATTTCCGTCTGAAAAAAGTAAAATAATCATAAAGTATCAATTTCAAAGAATAAAAATAATTATCTATGTTATTCTCAAGTTGAAACTTAATTCTTATTTAACCAACATCCAGTGACTGCCCTCTTACTTAAATTCAAACCATAATTGAGAATTTTTAATTAAATAATACGTATTTTCAATAATAATAAATACAAGTAAATTGATTGAATAATCTTTTAGCTTGTAGCAGCAACTACGCGAGTAATATTGAATAACAAAGGTAGATACGGCATTGACGAAGAGCCGATGCAATCAAATTTCACCGAATCTATAGGCTATTTTCTAGGGACCCAGCACAGAGTAATTTTTCTAGAATTTAGCATCAACTCATGGTGGATATTAGACTTTCACTAGCATATACAGACTGAATCCGCGTAAACACAACGGCACTAAGACTAACCTCCGTTGCACTTATTTTTATCTCGGCAGATTGTTTAATACGTTACTTTTGTATCAAAAGTGTATCAAAATGTCGAAAGAGAAACAGCAGTTTGACGTATCCCTCGGTGGCGAGGAAAGGCTACCTCGTGATGCATCTTTTAAGAATCTTGCTACAGCCAGAGCAAATGAGATGGCTGCGATGACTTATAATCTCGGTGAGTTTTTCTTTTTTTAATGAACGATTTACGTTCATTGGAACGATTGGTAAATGCCAATATTAATCGCCTATTTTGTTTCACAGAACACCCAAATCAAACGAAACTAATTTTCCAAAAACTACCGATGCACATGCGACGTCGTGTTATGTCCCACAATGCCAAACGCATGCCAAGAAAATTAAGAAATGGACACATCAGTCAAATGACTAAATCTGGCTTACCACCAAAAACAAAGCGCCCATCTAGAAAGTTTAGACGACGACCGTGTAATTTACTTTTGGAATACAATAGAAGGCAGAAAAATAAATTTTGGCTTGAAACTCATATATGGCATGCCAAGCGTTTTAAAATGATTGAAAAGTGGGGCTTCAAATTGCCATATCATTCCAATGACAGATGTTTTCGTGCAAATTATCGAGCAGTTGTCAATCATTGCCTAATTCAAGACATTTCTTATTACACATGTATAGAGATTAAAGGTCCAGAAGAATTATTGAAAGAAAAGTTAAAAATGCATTGTAATCCGAATGAATTGACATTTTGTGCAAAAGCATTTATCAATGGAGAAAGAGAAGGTACAGTAATGTTCTATGAGAAGAATAGTTGTCCAACTCATCCTATTGGATATGTAAACTTTTTATGGAGACCTACCAGTAAAAATAATATAAAAGCTATTTGGATTTGGATACATCCATCATTTTATGAAGAATTATTGAATTCAATTATATCAAACTTTGATTTTGAATTGAAGAAAAGTAAAAGTATTTTGGATGCTGAAAGTGATTGTAGCCAAGAAAAGCTCAACAGTCAAGATCAGGAAAATGTAGAAACTGGTCTGAAAATATTTTTGTTTACAAAAATTCCTGTTTATGAGAATAGTCATGGTTGTGAATTGGTAGTTTTAAGAAACTGCTTGAATAGATTTCGTCTCTCTGGACCTCTAGCTTTGAGTATATTGACTGATGCCTTCAAAATTCCTAATATCAATTCTAAATTAAATAATGTACAAACTAAAAAGACTGTTATGGAAATAAAAAATTCTGAAAATGTTAACTGCGAAAATGTAGGAGACTCTTATGAAATGGAAGTGGACAACATTGATAAAACTGAACATTCAATTGACTCTTGGTACAAAAGCTATTATGAATCTCAAGATAATTTACAAGCATTTAACATTCAAAATAAAGTTTATAATAATATAAGTAATTTGAAAACTCCAAATCAACTGCCTCCAAACATGGTATTAGCATTGACAGTATTAGATCCTCGATTTTTTCTGCCTAATAAAAGAACTAAATCACTTCCAAATACAAAAGATAATGAAATCATTTCAATGATTCCATCATTATTAAATCAAAGTCCACTTTATGATAAAAATATAAGAAGTTATGTTACTAAAAATTGTATATCAGCAAGTGCCATTAACAGTATAAGAAGTCAAAGCTTAGTACCAGGTGTGGAAAACGATCAGTTTTTCAACGAAGATATCATGCATAAGGTTCCAATTCTTCTCATCCAAAAACCTGGTAGTCATGTTCATAACAACAACATTGGATTTGGAGCCGGTATTGACATAATCTTACCAGCTAGCTGGTCCATGCCTTTTTGGCTTGCTCTGATTTTGAGATGTGCAAAACCTGGAGGATTGAGAGAAGCGAAATCAATTGCTTATGAAAACTCAAATCTCAGTATGCCTGCTTTAAATCATCCAGATACTAATGCCTTCAAGATTGAAGCAGATATCATAAAGAAAGAATTGACCAAAAAATATTTCAAATTACCTCCGAACAAACGTGTCAACTATGTTAAATTTGGTATATCTTCTCCATTCTTTTGTGAATGGAATATGCTTATGAAAGAATGGAACAATGTAGATGATTTCTATGTTTTGAAAGATCATAATGTTCTTTCACTTTTAAGAGCAAAGCTCTGTTCAAAAACTAAGAAAAAGAACAAGGTTACTAACAAAGAATTAAACGAAGAGTCAACTACAGTTAATCTAGATAATTTGGTAGACAATAAAAATTGCTTTGTGCCTGTTAGAGTAATTATTGAAAGAAAAGGATTACCTCATGATTTTTCTATAATTTGCTTACCAACAGAACAGGACTTGATCAAACTAATAGAAGATCCTAGATGGTGTGGACCAGAGGATTCCATAAAGACAGATCCTAATGAAGAGAAACGAAAGAATTTGAGAAAAGATCATCTCACCCACTTAAAAAGATTAAGAAAACAGAGAGTAAGAGCAAAAAAGAAAATTAAAGCTGCAAGCTATGAGATACCTTTGGAAAATTCTTCAGAGGCAAAACATTTAAATAAAATTTGTCAACTTGTTAAGGAGAAATTGTCAGATGTAAATAAAACAATAATTGAGCAGCAGTCTAATACAATGGCCAATTTGTTTTTACCGAAATGTGCAGCAGTAAGGCATTCTTGTGATAGAGAAGTTATTGGATATGTGACTCAGGGTGGATTTTCGTTTTCAGAGGCCAAAGGTGTAGGTTTAGGATATGTCGTTTTTTCTACAGTGTTAGAATTAGTCAATAAAAATTCAAACATTGTTTTAACAAGAAATACGACAACTCGGAAATACAGCATATGCCAATTAGATGTATTAACTTGTTGACCAAGAAATTATATAAAATATTATAATTTATTTATTGAAAGTTGTTATAATATTTGGATAAAATCTAACTTTCTTTCCAAGTGTAAATATAGTAATCTAACTGAATGTAAAGGACAGTTTACATAAAACATTTGTAAGTATTGAAACTTATTTTAATAAAATATTCTTAAAAAATTACATTTGCTTTTTCTTGCTTTGAATCTTGTAATTAAGATTTTTTTTTTGTACTGTGTAAAAAAATGACTATAAAAATTCATCATTTTATAAACTTTACTGCATCTACTTTTTCATATTTTTATAAATTATGCATTTTATCAATGTATTACAATTGCACTTATTTATATAACTTAAACTACTTTTTAAAATAGCTCTTTAGGCAGGTCTTTTTTATATGGAAAGCTTGTTTGAGTCCCAGTTTTCATAACACTTTCAGCAGCAATTCTGTTAGACCTTTTAATGCATTCTTCCAAAGAAAGATCAGAATGATATGCTATGAAATATGCTAATGCTCCTAAAAACGCATCTCCTGCACCCTAAAATATAAAATTGTTAAAATCAATAATATTTATGATTTATTAATATGATTTTTAATGAATTCATAGTCATTTTATATACTGTAGTATCAACAGCTTTTACAGGTTCTGATGGTATGTGGATGATATTTTTATTGCTTTTAGATGCATAAACTGCTCCTTGAGATCCTAATGTTATAATAACAGTATTGCATCCTAATATAAAAAATTTATCTACAGCTAGTTGGGCATTCGCTACTGTTATATTCTCTATACCAGTCATTATTTCAGCCTGAATTAAAAATTAATATTATATGTCTATTTGATAAATTTAAATCGATTTAAAAATTGATTGCAAACCTCTGATTCATTAACACAAAAAATGTCAGATAGCTTGAAAATTTCTGTATTAATATCTTTTATAGCTGGTGCAGCATTTACAATCGATGTACCTATTATAATATATTTATTAAATTACATTTGTTTTCTATTGAATCTTTCGTTTTTCTTAAATAACTCTATTTACAAACCATGTCCCTTATATAGTTTTAAAGCTGTTAAATTAATTTCCAATGGTATTTCAAATTGACAAAGCAGAACTGACGCATTTTGTATCGCTTCTTTAGCTTCTTCAACATCTTTTGAACTCAATAATGTATTTGAACCTTGTACAATAACTATTACATTTTCACCTGCAGTTAATTCAAAATATCAAACACTCAATTTTAAATGTTGTAATTCAGAGAAAAATATAAAAATGTGTGTAAGAAGCTTTACCTGTTTCTGTGACCATAATTTGAGCAAATCCAGTATGAAGATCATTATGAACTTTTATATAGGATGTATCTATGTTTTCTGTTTTCAATTTTTTTATATATTCTTTTCCCGATGAATCAGAACCCAACTATGAGTATAATATGAATAAAAATAAAAATAAAAAAATTATAATTTAAATAAATTTCAATTCTATACTGATGCAATAAATATAGTTGAAGCTCCAAGTCTAGCAGCTGTAACACATTGATTTGCTCCTTTTCCACCAAAACCTTGTTCATATTTATTTCCAATAATTGTTTCTCCTGGCTTTGGAAGTCGAGAAGAATAACTAAAATTATATTTCTATTTTTAATATTTTTCTTATTATACAAACTACAAAAATAATGTGAATTTTACTTACGTGATAGAATCTATCATGCAAGAACCAACAACAGCAATTGTCTTAGACATTTTGTACAAAAAATGCCAATCTCAACCAGTCAAGGAACTAAATTTAAAAACAAATAAAAGTTAATATTTGTGTTTGATGTTTGTAAGATAAAATCTTATCAAAATGTTGATAATTTTAATGATTCTAGAACAAAAACTGAAATTAATGCATGCTTCAAGCAATTAATTTCTTTTTCAACTTTGTCAGAAAATACATCATAATTGCGTTTTTTATTGTTTTGCTCAATAAAAAAGTTTTTTTCTAGAATTAGTAAGTAATACCTAGTCATTAAGTATGCTTAATCTTATTAAATACAATCAGTAACTGAGATTGATAAAAATTTTGCAAATCATGTATTGGATATGTTAATATTATACTTACAATTAAAATTAAGATATACTATTTCTTTAATGTACTACTTCATATATCACAGCTACCTGATACCCAGGGAGTAAGAGAGAAGAAGACCCCACTCATACGGCCGGCCAACAGAAATCTGGGATGTTTTCACCGGCAAAGATCGCCAGGCTCGCTCATCGGAAAAGCTGACACTAGCTAGCGTCAGATCCCTCTAGCGAACGCCATTCGTACTGCGTAGCAGGTTGATTTTATCTACCGTTCCCTGTCAACTGACATGCAACAACGTATATGAAATTATATATGCTTCAAAACTGTGCTTAATTATGATGACGATATGATTTGAGTTGACATAAATGATAAGTCAGCTATCAAGAGACTCAAACCCCAAATACTATAACCATAAACTTAATCACAAGCCACTCTCGGCAACTTAAATATAACTTTTAACATTCATACATTGATATAAGCACGTTAGCTTAGAGGCTAAGGTTTCTGCTTTGAATTGTTAGGATCGCCGGTTCGAATCCTAGAGATAATTTTTTTTTCGTCATTATGAAGAATATTCGAAGCATATAGATACGTAAAACTAAATTGAAAATTCAAATAACATATATTTATTGATTCTGGGTTTAAATGATGAAGTACATACAAATGAAATTTTTTGAAGATGATATTTAAAAAAATTAGCATAGACTTCCACCATTTTTTCCTGTACCTATTCAAAGTATAAAATGATAGAAAACTTCCGTGAACATTTGAAGAGTTTACTGGGGCATTTTCATTAACAATTTGATATATTTATCCTTAACTGAAATGCGTGCCACAAAAACTAAGCATTAGCGCTTTTAACATGAATGCTGAAAAAAAAATAATATTATGGTATTATACGAAAAAATGAAAAATATCGCCGGTTAGAAACATATATCACATTCTTCAAAATATAAGTTCATTGCGCTTGAAATTCAAATAAGTAAAACTAACGCATCAACAGACTGTGCTGTCAGTCCGTTTAATCGATATAAAAAATCACCTTATTTTCTATATTTTTCAAGAGCTACTGAAAATTATTTTCAATAATGCTACGTTTATTTGAGATCTACTTTTTTGTTATACAATATGATCATATTTTTCGTATATGTATAGATAAACGAATGTTGCAGTGATGTTGTATAAGAAAAATACATTTAAAACAGTGGAAATGTTATATTAACATGTGTGTGTGCATGTGTGTGTAAAGAGGAACATCTGAAAGCTTGTATGAGCGAAAAACTTTCGCCTATTTGAAATGGTAAAAATTATCATCTAAAATAATGTCGAATGAAAGGGTTGAAAAAGATATTAATGGTAGTTTGTCAAATATTTTTTAAATTAAAATTTTCTCGCTCGCTCGGGTGTAAACGCCACACGAGACGAGACTCTACTTTCCCGCACTTGTATCGTAATGTACTATTCACGCACTTTTAACGTAATGTACTATTCTCGTCTCGTGTGGCGTTGACGCCTGAGTAAAGCGAATTACTTTCCCGCACTTGTATCGTAATGTGCTATTTCCTATTTTTTCCCAAAGCTCATTAACGCATTATTACTAAGCAAAGAGGGTACAAATAGAAGTTTATCAAACCTTTCGGTTGCTACAAAATTATTGTTTTTCGTTGTTGTTTGTCAAATAAACTAAAAGAAGTAAAAAATATATCATTAATATTAAAAGAGATTTTATTCATCATAAGCAAATCATTATTTTCGTACAAGTAAGCCTACAATACTTCAATACTCTCGTAGAAAATATCGAAGAGTATCATGATACTTTTTAAAACATAATAACATTTTTAGAGTAAGTTATCACTTTACAATATGTACATTACTTATATACAGTCTTTGTTTTCTGAAGTATATTAGCTATCTCTTATAATATATGTGTATGTGTTTGTAACATCAAGCAATAGTCAGTTTGAAATACAATTTGGCAGCATTGAAGTGTTTACATTTTTATTTTGAGAATCCTACAGTAAAAAGTCTTATTATATGCAAACATACACTTTTTATTATTGAGTATTGATAAAGATAAATTAACTGCAGTAATCACATATATTTGTCTAATTTATTGTAAGAGTGACAGCATAATTTGGAAACGGATTGTCTGAAGACGTCACTCCATGAATGATTTGTCATTGAGTACCTATGTGGATAAAATATTTATCAAAATGTAACAAACATTTAATTTATATTCACAAATATTTTCCTAGCAAAAAATAATGCTATAGGATAATAATCGTTCATAAAAAATGTCAATAGTTTTGATATAAAATGTTAATACAAATGTTTCCACCTACACTTAGTTATTAGTGAACTAGAATCTTAACACATAGTCACAATTATTTCAGCTAACATCACTCGTATCATTCATACATAATTATTGATCTTTTATATTTTTGGTACTCTCATAAATATAACAAAGCCATTGTAGTTCAGTAATCGGCTATACAGTTAGAAACATGTACTTAACATATAATCCATCTTCTAGCAGTGATGTTTCACATCGCTGACTGGAAGCTTTCATACATATCGTAAAAAAGAAATATTAAGAAAGCCACATTTTGAAAGTGAACAGTCATGAATGAAGTATATCGTCGATCGCACGCAAAAAGTCTCTCGAAAAAATAAATAATAAAAAAAGTGTCAACGTCAATCAACAATAACAACGAGATTAAAATCACGCGACATTAGCAGCTTCGTGTTTGTATCCCTGGAAGGGTTGGGCAGCTTGCTGTTGCCTCGATGGTTTGCTAGGAGCAGCGAGCAGTTTACTCCAGGCTCTACAAGTTTTTCCTGACCACACCCACATACCGGAAGTGATGCCGATGACCAATGACAAGAACAATCGTAAGAGCGTAACTTCGAGGCCAGAAGCTTTGTGATTGGGCAAACTGCCTGGTATGCAGTCGGTGGACGATCGGCAGTCGAGGGCTGCGAGAAATACCAGAGTACGCCACTTAGGACGAATGTGAGATTCGCGAAGAGCACAAGCCATGCTGCTGAGAGCCGGCAGCGCGTAGAGAACGGCGAACACGCCGAGACGGGTCATTAGACGTTCGAGTTTTGTGGCGCTGCGTCCCGCTTGGCGGATCGCTCGACGCACTCGGATCAGAGCGGAGCCGGCTATCCCGCCGAGGACGCAGCCTAGAATTAGTAAGCTTGCGTTGGGTAGAATTTCCAGCCACAGAACTGATTCGTCGGACACTTGACAGAGACCGGTTAGCTCGTCGGCTGACAGGCTTCTCGAGATGAGCGTCACTGAAACATCAAATTATTACTATTTTACCGGTATTCGTGTTTTCGTACAAGTCGCGTTCCCGTTTGGTCGACATCAAAGTTAGACGAGAAAAGCGAGCAACGACCACGGCTGAAATAAGAGCTACCAGAGTAGTTTTCGTATTTCGCCGAACGAACAATGACCGAGCAAAGAAAAAGACGTCGAGCGTCTGCGGCGCCCGTCGAAAGCTGGGTTTTCGAAAGAGCAGCCTGCCAACGCGCGCAATCAGAGAGGTGCATCCTCGACACAGTGGGACGGGCACAAGGGAAACGAGTCGGGAGGGCGGCTTACCACTGGTGAGGAGCACCGGAGTGCCCCAGGCGACGGCGTGCAGATAGGTGGCAATGTTGTGAAGCGCTTCGCTGCTCCACTCGTTTCTGGCGCTCAGCAGCCAGCAGCCGCAGAGGATCGCCCACCAGAGGCTACTGGCCAGTCCGAAGTAGTAACGCGCCACCCACCAGAGCGTGCAGGACGCGCTTCTCATGCCGTCGTTCACCTGAAACACGCGCAAGGCAAGCTCGTGACACGTCCAGGACGCGCGAGCGCGCCGTCGGACACGCCAGAAGCAAACTTACCGGCACGTAACTCGGCCCGTCGGCTTGCGCGGCACATCCAAATTGCTCCGGGCCAACGGCACCTCGCACGATGTAAGCCAGCGAGAGGAAGTTGTAACAAAGCGCCAGGAAGACGATAGGCCTCTCGGGATACCGGAATCTCATGGGCTCCACCCAGAAGGTAAGCAGCGTGAAGAGAGTGGAGAGGAAGCACAGCCATGCCCATCCGGTCATCCAGCGGTCGGTGAATTGCTTGTCCTCGTCGCGGTAATAGACGTCCTCGCCACAGCGCGGTACGCAGGACGTCTGCAAAAGGGGACGCGGCGCGCGTCACGCTCAGTTTAACAGTCGATGAATCGCTCGCTTACATTAACTCATTGATTCTAATGGACAACTTGGGGCAATCAATTTGGCTGATAGGTGCGAATTAATATGGAGATTAGCGCTGATAGTGCAGGTGCTGATAGTGCCGACTAGAAACTGGTTTGACATCACTTTAGTCGCGACTGGCGCTGGCGCCCCAAACGAGCTCATCGAGCAGCAATAAATTCAAACCAACTTTCAGGCCTTTTGAAAATAACAGGGTTATTTTCAGAAGGAGCACGCAGGGCTTGACGGAGGTGCGTCTTATAGATAAGAAAAATATTGAATGATAATTACCACGAGCATGAACGCGCGGATAGAATTACGTGAAAAACTCACAACGTCGACATAGGGTGATTCGACGAAAGGCGCAGGGCACTTTTGCAAACGATCTCTCGGTGGCAACGGCATCGGTTGCATCGGCTGCACCACCGGCCATTGCGCTTGCTTTTTATCTTTCTCATCTTCGTTCCCATCCTCGTCGTCGTCGTCGTCCTCCTCCTCTTCCTCCTCCTCCTCGTCCTCGTCCTCGTCATCCGCTTGCTTGTCCTTGGTGTCGTGCAAAAACGGCGCTGTTTCCGGCGCCAGACTCTCTTCCGGCGGTGGCTGCACGCACAGAATGTTACCTGCGCCGACATCATATGATATTACATCGGCTTTCGTTTTCCGCTGCCGTTCGTCCAGCTTTCCGCAAGAGGTGTAATTCGAGAGCTTTGTGTAAGCGCAGCAGAGGCTTTTGAGGATGGCCATGTGAGCTTCGCCGAGGGATTAGCCGTGCGTATACCGATGTAGTCGCGTATGACTTTTTAAGGTCTCTTTTGAAGAGACCTTGCGGCTGCATTCGCATTTCAGCAAGACGCGCCATTCGCGACCAGGTATTTTTCGATTTATTTATTTATTTTTTGACGAAACTAAGCTTTCCAATTGAACTTATAAAAATGACGTGTTTTTTGACAGATACCATAATGATTAATTCTAACAGCAGGGCACGGAAATTCGCTTCGAGCTCAACAACATCGACCCCGAGGTGACTTGAAGTCGAAAATCCAAGTTGGGCGTTTCTCTCAAAAGCTAGCCTCGGAAAGTCATCACGAGCTTGCTCTCCTCTCGAACGGGGGTATACTCACTGTTGTCGGGGAATCGGTCGCAGTCCAGCATGTGCGGCCACGGCAGCGTCAATTCTCGCAAGGTGTGCTCGCAGTCGCGCCTGACGGATAGGCAGAGCGGCTTGCAGGCCGGTATCTGCATTGCCACGTGCTCGGAGCAGACGGGGGCGAACACCGAGCACAGGAAGAAGCGTAGATGCCGCGAGCAGTTGTAGTGGACCAGAGGCATCAGCGTCGCCAGCTGCAACAATCAGAACGTCATGTAGCCTTTCATTAGTGCCTCGCTCGCCGACTTTAATTAGCCCAGATTCCTCGTTCCTCTCCGCGCGCCGAGCACGTTAATGCTGTTATTTAGCCGAGGTAATTGTCTCGCGTCCCGTGCGCGCGTATTGTTGTGGGAGGAGACGCGTAGTGGTAATTTTCCATGTATTGCGTCGCCGTGGTGAAACGACCCGTATGGTCGTTTAAAGCTGCGCTAATGCGACTAATTATTGGCTGCGCGAGACTTTCGCTGACGGTGGTCGCGGCCGCGTAACGGACGATCAAGTTAAAGAAAAATACCGCCCGATATTTCATGCCGATCGAGCGCGGACCAAATTAAAAACAATGTTAAATATCGATGAGATCATATCTTTCGTAATAATAACGAAAATATCCGTGGCGGCTGCCTCGTAAGTTTACCACCATAAGCATCGAAAATCCATAAAAAGCCTTTTAATATTCAATAAAAAAAATGGATGCACGCTGCCGGAGGAGCTTAATAAGGACCCACGTAAGCGAGCTCTCCTTTCCTGGCAGCACCGATGTTAAATTAACCGACCATTAAACTTTCACGCGAAATCCTCCAAATTGCGTTCATAAATATAACCCTTCTCTCCAAATCCCGCAGTCGTGCTCGCACGCATGAGCTTTTCGATAAACGAAACGAAATAAAAAGACGGGAAATTAGGCGGGCCCGAATCCGAATTCACGCGTAAAATTTTGAAAGAACGCGCCGAGAGAAGAAAACAGAGGATAAAAAAATGATAAACCCGTCTGGGTGGTTCCGTCGCGAATGCACGTAGATTGCGAAGGTTTAACGAACGCGCGCGAGACCGAAATGATTCGAGCGATCGACCCTCGAACGTGCATAAGCGTCGAGGCATTTGGAAACCAAACGTCAAACACGTCGCCGTCGAACAGTCCGCGCACGAGCGAGAAAGTACTCGGAACCGCGCGCACAAGCGCATCTACTACTCGCGGGCAGAAATGAGCGACGAAATAAAGAAGAAAGGAGAGAGAGAGAGAGAGAGAGAGAGAGAGAGAGAGAGAGAGGACGCGGCAAGCTGGAAGAAGACGAAGCAGCAGAAGAAGGAGAAAGAAGGCAGACTTGAGATATAACGAGCGACGGGCTTCAGGGGTAATTATCCCGCCCATTCTTCCCGCCTTTCCCGACGGGCCCAAATTACAGTTCCCATGAAATTACGTGGCGAGCCGTAAGTCCACGCACACACACGCACGCGTAGCCATACGTGCCCATTCGCCTTCGGGGCCTTCGTTCTCGCCGACGCCGATGCGCAGCGGAGCGACCGCCGCCGCGCGCCTCCGTTTATGTCTCTTTTTTCCCCTTCGTCGAAAAAAAAAAAAAAAAAAAACAAAAAAAAAAATTATGTATAACATTTCGGCGCTCCGCAATTTCGACTCGCCGCCTTTCTAACTGTTTCCTGCAAGCTTAATGGAGGTTATTTGCCGGTCCGAGCGACCAGTTTCGCGCAATCGGTATTTCGAGAATAAAAGCAGTGCAGGGACGTTGCCCTTGAAATTGCCAGCCGACGGATTCCCAATGGCATTAATTGCCGGCAAACGGAGCGAGCGGCTAACGGCAACGGTCGCGCGGCGTTTAGCACACCGATATGGATTTTCGCGCGTCGCCCCGAGGGGCTTTTCAAGTTGGCCGCTCGTGGGGCGCGGACGCACCTTTTCTCCTCCGGCGTATCTCGTCCTCCAGCAGCGTCGCTCGCGAAAAGAGCCGACGCGAGGGACGAGCGGCTTTGATCTAGCGCGAGAGCCGCGATGGCCTATTCTCCGCGCGGCGCGTGTGCCTGCAGTCGAAAACAACGCCACACTTGCGCGGCGAGCGACAGCAGCCGCCTCCCCTCCCCTCCCTTTTTGTTTTGCGCGGCGACGAAAGAGGCACTCGGCCGATCCGTCGGAATGGCTGCGGCAGCAGCGGCGCTTTACGATCCGCTCGACTGCGATCATCACGCCGAAGGATCGATTTTTCTCTCGAATATCCGCGCGCGCAGTCGGCCGTCTAGCGATGTGCTACCGCTCGTGCGCCTTCTCTTCGACTACCGCCTTTCATCTTTCGCGCGCTGATAGCGCGTAGGCGATCCAGCACGAGAGATATTGGCAGGTTGGCCTCGGACGTTAAAAGCCACTTAATGACACGGCGCAACCGCCGCGTAACGACTCGTGCAGAGGCCTGCGCGCGCGAGCTGCGGTACAGCGTAGGGCGCGCCGAGAGAGCAAGCTTCGCGGTTTCCGCGGAGGCCGCCTTCCCTACTTTCTGCCGCCTCTGCGCGTAAATTTAACGAACAAGAAGTGATCGGCGCGCGACGACTCGAGAATTCGCGAGCGCGTATGTGCACGATCGAACTCACGTCGGACAATGGTTCGCCTGAGGCTACGTAGATATTACGGCTGCACGCGAGAGGGGGGGGACAGATGCAACGACACCGAGTGATGGGTAATTAAGACCACGTCTGTGCGTCTGCTCTCTTGTATACCGCATTCGTTGATTTCCAGTCTCTCTCTCTCTCTCTCTCTCTCTCTCTCTCTCTCTCTCTCTCTCTCTCTCTCTCTTTTCATTGTCGCTACTCGTTGCAATTTCAGATATTGCATAACGGTCGATGCACAATTTTCAATTCGTTACAGGCTATGGAAGCTTGATTCGGCGAGAGGAAAAAAAGAGCGCATGGAACGGACATGGCGGATGGCGGTCTCGGGTTGACTGATGTCTCCCTTTCTCTCTTTGGTGAATTTCGCGGTGAGGCAAGCACCAAACACAAGAAGAGAGGCGTGCTCGAAAAATTGGCCGACCGGTTTACTGGGTCGCGCTTTGCTTCGTTATTTCGCGTTTTTTTCTCGTCCGTTCCAGCGCTCGGCGGCATACACACACGCGCGCACACTCGCACGCACGCACGTAAGATATACGAGGATGCGGATAAAGAGAGGAAAGAAGAAGAAGAAGAAGAAGAAGCGAGCTTGACAGACGCGACGAGACAACGAAACGTCCGTCTTGTGCGCCTTGCCAGAGCTCTATCTCGGCCGATCGGCCCGGCTACCGACCACAGAAACCTTTATTCTTCCCTACCCTTTCCTTCCTTTTTTTTCACCTCCTTCGAGCTCCGTTTTTTTCCGTCCTTTTTTTCCTTCTTTTTTTATTTTTCTTTAGCGCGCGTCAATGCTCGCTTCGCTGCTTTTTTTCCTTCTGGTTTCCGAAGAGGGCATTTCTGCGGACAATCCTTCCCGATTTCGATGCAAGCCGAGAAAAAAAGAGTTTCTCTCGCTCCTCTGGTTTTTTGCGAGGACAGAGAGGACGATGCTTATTACGGGCGACGATACTACTACCGGTCGCAGCGACGTTTTTCTCGGCGAATTCGGAGCTGAAAGTTACGACGTCGTTTGCGGTGTATACACAGAAGAGTCGAGATCAACCGCGTTTTTTGTCGATCGAGATTCTTCTCCGTTGTTGTCTTCTTTTTTCCATGCTGCGACCGCGGACGCGCAGCCCGCGAGAGATGATTGTTCGGTTTTTTGCCACGCGCGGCCGGGGCATTTCATCTCGCGCGGACTTCTCGTGTTTTTGCGCGAGAAGAGCCCGCGTGCATTCTCGAAGAATACACCGCTGGGAGGCCGATCGTTTCTTGTGCGCGCCCGGTTTTTCATCCGCGTCGCCATCGAATAGCGAGTCGCGAGTTCGCGCTCGCAAGCGCGGATCGCGCGCTTCCTTACGGCCGTCCGGCACAAAACGCCTCGATATCGAGCGAGCACTAAAATCGAGAAAGCCCGCGCGAGCGGAAGCTCGGTTCATCGCAACGCGCGATCTGACGCGGAAGGGGGAGTCGTCGCCGTCGGTTCTCTCCGGTGTGGCGGCAGCGGCGATTACGCCCGGCGAGCGCGGAAAATTCAACGTCGTGGGAAAAAGCGATAAGGAGAGCAGCCGGACGTGGGAAGGAAGACCAACGCCGTCTTCGTCTTCATCGCGCGCGGAATGCGATCGTCTTCTTCTGCGGCTAACCAGAAGAATCGAATCGCGGATTATAAAACTGCCCTGAGGAGATGATTGCGAACGCGCAACACGCCTAACCTTTTTTTTCTCCCTCTCTCTCTCTCTCTCTCTCTCTCTCTCTCTCTCTCTCTCTCTCTCTCTTTTCGCGGATAACGAATTACACGTACTGCCGGCATCACCAGCACCACCAGTACCGCAAAGTATCTCTCTCGAACCAAACCAACCTCGTTAAAAAACAGCACCCTCGATGTACACATCGAGGGCTAATAAGAAATCTTTTATCGGAAATTGGCTTCTCCTTTTTTGCCAGGGCGCATATAATTTATCATTGAAGCGCTCGTTACTAACGGCAGAGGCTCCTTCTTGGATTCCAATTCTTTCTCGTTTCTTTTTTTTGCTTTCTTGTAACGCGCGTAACGAGAGAAAAGGAAATTACTAATGAGGACGTCGATTATTGCAAGACTCGGCTGCTCGCTTTTTTCCGCGCGCGCGATGGATTTTATATTTTTCTTTTCAGAGATTTTTAATTAACGCTGCAACGGCGACGCTAGAAGGGCATCACGGCGCGTCCTTGTTTCTTTTTCAGCTTCAACGGGCGCTTCGCTAATTACGCCGTGTTGAAGAAAATATAACAATGGCCTGCTCGCGAGGATACGATGTTTTTTCTAATTAGCACGAGCTCGCGCGTCGCAATTTTTCTTTCGGCAGGTCGATTCGGAAATGAGTTTTCGATGCGCGCGCGCAGAGAATTAATTGGAAGCAAGTCTACGGATCTAACGCGACGGAAACGTGATATTTGTTGCGAGGTTAATTGCGCGTCACGATCTGCGTAGCTCGATTTTTTTCTTTTAAAGAAGAACAAAACAGTTCGTAGCCACTGCGCTCCTCGGCGGCGATCAGCTCTTTCATCTCGTTGCCGATCTACTGTTACTCGACGAGCAGCCGCGTGAATATTTCATAGAATTCTG